TAAGATGTGAAAAAACGACGACTGAGCAGAACGCATTCACCGGCAGTTGAGGGCCAACAGAAATCGGTTCATCGCCCTAGAACAAGCCTCCAGAGCAAAACCCCATGAGTCACTTTCAACTGATTCACTTCTAATGACGTCAAAATTGTAATCACTGCTCGTGTTGGAAGCTGTTGCCACGGTGCTAGTCACATGCTCCTAAGTTGTAGTGCATTGCATGTGTAATTTCAACTCCACCTGGATTGTTGCAAGATTGCATGTCAACATTAAGCTTAACCGTCAAGTTTCAAATTGACGTAGACTTATCATTTCTTAATCAAAATCATTTCAAGTATCACGTGTTTCACTTTTAATAGTTTTCCATGATGAAGTACCCTGTTTGCCATAAGAGACACGTTGGGATCAGTAGAAGTGTTTTCTCGAACTGCGAGAGCATGTTATGACTTCTGTTTGAATTGCTGCTCCAGGTGCTCTGATTTTGAAGTTGCTTGTAATCACCCATTGCGGTTTTGTTGATCTTATTTCGACGTCTTGAAATGTCATGGCTTGTGGCTTCATTTCGGCTTGTCAAGCCCATTTGGCAAAACTTGCCATTGTTATATTTGTTTTTATGGGCTCTCTGGCTGCTTTCACTCAGCAAAGTTGCCTGAATTTGTGTTCTCCATACTCAATACGCCTGTAGTGAAAGATTCGGTTAGCTATTGAATTGAGTTCCTGTGCGACTATTCGATTTTATTTCGATGCATCAGAGCCAAATACGACTGTGCTCTGACGCTTCAGCTATAAAATATGGATCACAAATGAGTCTCCGAAAAGCTATCCTTGTTGAATGCTTGAACCACCTTGTCGTCATTTTAGGTTTGGAGGTAATTTGGAATTAGCCTACGTCACTAATAAAAAACTAAATCATTCGGATCAATCATCCTCAAAGCAATTGTAAGTTCTCCAGATGTTAGACTTAACCATAGGTGTTAAGGGGAAAATCAAATTAGCGAAGAGCAGCAAGCACCAGAAGGTTGAAATATACCGAACTTTTCTGCTGTGTTCAAAGCGATCTTCGTTCCTTTTTTTAAGTCTAACCCTTTTCAAGTGTGATTTTGTGTATTTTAAACGGGTCATTGTCTGTTCATCTGACCTTATTTAAGCGGGTGACGTCGATTTTGCGACGGTAAAATGGTCATGCAACTTGTTTTAACCAATTTACAATCTGTCTTCCTGAAATATGGACGCTTTCATCTACGACTCTCACCCGAGGTCACTGGCTTACAAATTAAAGTAATCATTCGCTGCTGGACGATTTGCAGCCTTGTCGGCTTCCTCAAAATGCGAGTATTTTTGAGAAAAGCTTATAGAGGTATTTGAAAGACAGTGATTCTACTTCATGGTGGTTGAAACAATCTTTCTTGACATAGATGGCTCTCTCATTTTTATTACTGGACTTACTTGTCACTACCCACCCTCAACCGAAAGGGACATGAAAACTTTGCTGTCTGCCTTGAGTGCTCATGAAGGTGCATTCACAGCTATCTCAAGATTAATTTTTCATTGATTAGAATTTGCGTTCTCCTTCTGCAAACTTTTAAAACTGTTAAGTCGTAACGTTGCTTACTGCCTATTCCCTCTTTTTGTGGTCGCTTGGATTCTTTTTTTTAAATGTGCGTAGGTGTAAAAGTCACGGGGTTGGTAAGATATAGATTGGACCAGATATTAACCTTTTACTACCTTGAATGGTGTTCGAGTAGTGCACTGTTATCGCTGCCACTCACTTCACTTGCCTTAAAAGCAGCTAGCAACAAAGACAAACGAAAGTAACTTGCCTGCAAACCAACTCTTATATCTCTTGTAATATTTAAAGCTTTAATATAAAATTGTTAAAATGCTCGTCTGAATTTGAAATAAGATTCTATGCAGAGTAAAATTCATTTGCCCTAACGGCCTCAGAACTACCTACCCACAGACATTTCATACGTGTCTGGATTTACATGTGGTTAACTACGCTTTTTGAGTGAGCCATTACACGCGTCCGATAGATCTTTGGAAAGAGGTGTCTATTTATATCAATTCGGTTGCACGCAACTGTTTTTATTCTACTTCTACCTGTATTGAGGTCCAGCTTTCATTTTGGTGTCCGGTGTTAAAATTTGCTCAAGTTTTTTACTCAAGCTTCATTTTCCCTTTTTTTTATGCGACCGTTTGCCCATAGTTTTCGACGATATTTCAACCAATCAGTTAACTAGATCCTCACTGGTATACTTTTTTTGTATTTTTCCAAATTTATTGAATTTGTTGCAGAAACGATGTTACTGACTCCCGATTACAAAGTCTTCTTCCCTTACAGGCCAAGAAATGATTTACGGGCGCAGATGGTGGAACTAAGGCCTGTGGAACCGTCTTCTATTGTGAATTTGAATCCAAACCTATTCTTTGATATTGATCTGACTCTATTTGAAAAAAAAATTATAAGCACGTAAGATGTTGCTTACTTTATTCATTTCGATCCATATTTCTTCGTATTTATTTGCAAAATACTTTGACAATGCTTTGGCAAAGAACATTGATGGGAATTCCGATCAAAGACCTCTAAGTCTTAGTAGCGTATGGATTTAGCCGTGCGTTACATTGGATCTTTTGACGTCGATATCAAGGTCTAAATTCCACGCAGCTCGGCCGCCAGCATTTAACGAAACTGCAGCAGGATCGTGGTAGGGTGTGTGACAGTCAAACTGAAATCAGTCGACTTTTCCACGGACTTGCACACCGACGCTCCGTTACCCACAAAGATACCCGACTCTTCTATTCATGACAAGGAAAGAAGCTCAGCCCACCTCAACGAAAGTATCTTTCAATTGGCTTTGGAATTCATCGTCTCAGTTTTCACTTCGCCATCTTTCATGCATTGTAAACACGTTGCATAATTTACTGCATTGTTTGCATCAGAAATTTTCAAATGAAATTCAGCAGTTGTGTTTGGTAAAGCCAAATTTTGATGCATGCGTGATTCAAGTCTTACCGCACTGGTTTTTGAGACCGGGCGCGGTTTTCGGAGAGCATTAAATTTACAATTTCTTGGCAGCACACATGGTTTCGTTTTGTTCTTCTCTTCGGGCACAAAAGCGATTGCGCATCCACCCACTGCATCTGCGATCAAGGAATCGTTGCAGCCTTCTTTTTAGATATTCATTTATTTTTTACTTTACTTTGAACCTTTCCGGTGACTGGACATTTTTGGTATTTGCTAGTGTACTGTGAAAACAGGACTGCTGAAAAATGACCAACCGTCGAGTACTTAGCGAATCCGTAAGCCTGTTGGTGTTGACGGGAAATTTGATAAAATTTAAATGGAATTTTACAAATCTATTAGCCTTGGGGGTTATACTGCAACTAGATTGCACTTTATTTTTTCCTACATCTGGTTGACAGGGTCTCGAAGACTTGGCCAAGTGAGTTCCTATGCTATTTCTCGGAATTAGAGATTTCGCCCCTCTAATGACCTGAATCTAAATTGTCCATCAAAATTTTGCGATCCACATGCCTCCATTTATACATGGAATAAGGGGATTGAAAATCAGTTATATTTTACCTACACATTTACTAGCCAGCGTACATGGAAGTGCAATGAGTTGCAGCGCACAGTGTCGAGTATATTGTACACCTCGATTTCTGTTCTCGCAGAAATGCGTAAAATAACAGTTGGAGACTATGGAGGTGGCGAAACGACCGAATGCGCACTGCAGGTATTATAAGTCACAGCCTTAAATTGCGTGTGCGTGCACGCTCAACAACAAAACTCTTCTGGAGGCGGGAGCACCAAGTCATTAGGATCGAAGCTGCCGCCTTGTGGCGGCGGTGTGTTCGCTGACATGGCAGAAGACGATCGAGGGACGCCGCCTTTAACCGCCGCAGAACCTGCATTCACCGTGGGACTCACACCGCCCCCATCACTGGTCATCGAAAGGGGTCGTACGTGGTCAGTGAAGTGGCGAGCTCCCTTGTCGCGTCTCCGCAGCCTGCCTGTCTCCTGAACCCCGCGAATGGGGGAGGAGTAGTGAGGGAGGAATCGGAGGGGTGGCTGGGGAACCGAGTGGACGGGGCGACCGGTGGAAGTCGGACGATTGTTTGCGTAGAAACTTTGTAAATTGTGGCGGGTAGGTGGACTCAGGGAGACCGATGCAGCCGTGTTTGAACTCAGACTGGATGTGTCTACACCAACACTCTAGGAAAATAGTGAGAGGGATTTATTAGTTGTTAAAAAAATATATGAAAGTGGCCACAAGCGCCACAGAGGTCTATTATTAATATACAGTGTTGATTGCCTTCTTGGGCACAAGCAAGATGAGATAAATTGACCTGCACCAGATGCAAGTTGCATCAACACACAAAACTAAGTGAAAAGTACACAATAGTTTACAAATTATACGAGTTCTGGTAGTTTCTCGCGATTTTTAAAATCTACACACCCATCGCAACTTATTCACAAGATATTTGGGGAATATTAGTTGATTTATTAAAAAGTTACAGTGAATTAATTCATTGTTAATATAAGCGTAATAGTTCTAGTTGCGCATGTTTCAACTTGGCTAATTAGACATACGGTTGGCATACACTTTAAAAAGCTGAAAATCTACTCAACTGTTTCAATTTATTTAGACGGATTTTAAAGTAATTACATCATAGTAGGTTAATCGTGTTGTTCTTTAAAGCCGACAGTCCACTTCGTGGTATTTTCACAGCAAATAACTCCAAGACTTTAATGAATATGTAGAAAGTTTGACTATACATTTGAGAAAAGGATGGATGTTTGAACGTTGAGATGAAGACCTCAGAACGTAGATCAAGTAAAGCTGGGATGCTTCCTCTAAACCCTTTGTAAATAAGATCCAAATGAGAAAGTCTGAGTTGTGAGGCGTAAATAAGTCAAATGGCCGCCACAAAACAACGTTGTACTATCTTAAGTCTGCTTTAAAAAGTTCCGCATTTCGAAAAAAATGGCAACCTTGTGAAAATTTGTCTCTGTCTTATTGGAAGCACAGATCGGCTGCAAATAGATACTTAGAATGCTTGCATTAGTGTGTCCTTCGTGTCAGCAGATAGCACAAAACCTTTACCAATTTCTAGCACCTAGTTTTATACCCTTCAGCCTTCTTCTTCGCACACCGCGAGCAAATTCTACCCAAGTTACCGCATCCCATGTAGCTATTGCGCTGGCAATGAATGAATTTGTCCGTTCCCACGCCCAACGATCAAAACGACCGAACCATGTGAGCCACAACATCCCAGGTGATACTTGGGGAGCGTGAAGATTTGTGGAACGGTGGTGCCATCTTGAAGGTCGATGCCACACCAAAGCCAGGAAATTGCCCACCTCTTCTTCCATTAATCGTTTTTGTCAAATAAGAAAAAGGTTTCTGGATCAGCCGCTTTTTCCTGTCATGTGGATTTCGGCGATGGACCATCTCGTACATATATTAACGTAGGATCTATCAGATTCCCCTTCAGGCAAAACAGCACGTTTCGGTTGGGGTTCCTTGGTCATCAGGTGCAATTTTAACCTTTGCTTCACTATCACTAAATATCAAATCCTACTTGGTGAAAGTTAGTAAGATTCTCGCCATAACATCCAAATCGTTCTAAAAGACTTATTATTGACAGTAACAATCGGCGATTTTATCAAAAAAACTGGACTTTGTATACGCGCCGTACTCTCCACCTTATAAGTATTATGAAATGTATATTAAAACCTGTTAAAACAGCATAAAATCAAATGATTTCAGATTGATGGGCCTTACACTCGGTGGCACTGTAAAAATAACATAAAAGTTCTTTATCACATTAATGAGTAAGGGAATTTGTGTCTGAACAGATTTATGAAGACTGAAGGAGGGATATTTTCACCAAAAACAAGCACTGAATGTTCTAACCATACTTGTAATCTTACCTACGTTTCGTGCCCGTTGTTAAGTACTGAACAAAGCTAATACACCACTTCTAAGTTGACTATGTTTCCACTCTTATAAACGTGAAATCGTGAGGAATTATTACCAAAAAGCCTAACAGTCATACACGCATAAGTTGCACATCCCAGACCACTCGAAAACTCTGCATACACTGCTCGCAACGCAGGGATTCTATAGCTTAATACCTTCCTAGGCAGCTATAAAGTTATACAGTCTAATACCCCTTCTGGATTGGCATAGGCGTGGCTTGGACTGAGTAGTGTTTAGACGGTAGGGCGCCAGACTTCCCCACGAAGTGAAGTTTATGTAACGCCCTTTACCGGTGGTGAGTAACGTTTACTTGGGTTGGGAACGTCAACGCCCCTGGCTCAAAATGATTGGTCAACACCTAGGGCTCTGTTCAGTGACCGTGGGCGTAGTGACTGAAATGGATAATGCAATAACTGCAAGTGTGGGCGGATGAGTAATCGTGGATTATTGAGAACGAATCCAATCGATTTGATGCAATTATCTTTGAGCGAACCAATAAAATAGGATATGATGTTGCTAATTTCAGCATTCAAGGCAATAATTTTGATGATATGGGAAATATTGCATTAATCTTTAATGTTAATATCAGTATTAGGCATCTAGCTAAGCATGGTCGCTGATTGTGCCCGAGTAATAAACTAGCTAAGAATCCACGAGGAAATACCTCAAAAATCCAGGAACGCAATTGACCGCACAGCTTTCGCACACGAGGCTAAATTCAAGACCGAATGTAACAGCCGTAAAATAACTATGAAACCCGATATCTTATGCTTTAATGATGACGACGGAAGAGAACTCCCGCATAAAATTGACTACTTACATAAAAGTTTCATTCCTGATAAAAGCAATATTTGCCATCGCAACAATTGCGATGCTGTATCCAACAATAACCACGTTTAAAAAGGGAACAAATAAATTATGTATCTGTCTCAATTTGACAATTGAAGTGTCAGGTTTAATGTTTACATGAAGTAATTGAAGCGAACTTGAAATCACACATGCAATGCACTACAACGTGGGAGCATGTGACTAGCACCGTGGCAACAGCTTCCAACACGAGCAGTGATTACAATTTTGACGTCATTAGAAGTGAATCAGTTTGAAAGTGACTCATAGGGTTTTGCTCTGGTGGCTTGTCCTAGGGCGATGAACCGATTTCTGTTGGCCCTCAACTGCCGGTGAATGCGTTCTGCTCAGTCGTCGTTTTTTCACATCTTATAACTGAGTGAGTTAGAGTTCTTTGTGAAATTGGCGAACAGATTCTATCCAACACATTATCTGTGGCTTCGACCTCGTTTTCATGAGGAAAGAAGATATGGGATATAATTTCCCTGCCGGCCAAAACGGCATCATAAATTAAAATGTAGTTCATAAACAAAGCAGTTGTTTGATAAGGATCATCAGTCAGAATGTGACGAACGAATAAGTGATGAATACGAAACAGGAATTTTGCTACTTGCGGGATGGGATCGAAAGCGGTTGTGTTTGGGAATGAAATGTAGTACACTCATTTCTGCAACGCTATACATTCAAATGAACACGAAGCAAGGCATCACGCACCCGATTACAGAAAAAAGGTCGCTGTACACTATGATAAAATGGGGGATTTGGAGTTTGGGCTTTTCGTTCTGCCTCAATCGAATATTTACTGGACCCAACACAAAAGATTACTCCTTTCAGTGGACAATGCAGGTTGTTCAAATGGCCGACAATACATTAATTGAGAGACAGATCCGATGTTTTTGCCGAGTGTATAATTAAAATGAGTCCGTGCTATGAACATGAGAAATGGCAAATGTTGTGGTTTAATTGGCAAAGACAGTGGCAAGCATGACGGTGTTTTTTTAAAAAATGAACTTTCCCTTATTCCATTGTTGCTAACCTTAAATTACATTTCCAAACAGAGTTGCGATTAATTTACTTATTCGGTATCGACTGCTAAGACTCACATTATGGAAGGTAGCCACTGGACAATTTGCTTAAGTGCGACACGATGAGTCTCTTGTTTGGTTACTATGCGACTTAGATCTTGTTAAAATATTCATCGCGAACAAAACCACTATTTGGTTGATAACTATGGTATTTGGTTACATCACTGTATTTCGTACGCCTTTATACATTGTGGTTGACAATAGCTTCCCTTCCCAAGAGTTGGGTGCGGATATTTAATGCCCCTGTGGTCTTAAGGTACGCACAATTTTCTAGATAATCTTACGACCGGTATCAAGTGAATTTCAGACGCAATAAAACACATTTGAAAAAAAAACAAAAGATTTTACCTCACTGAATGAATTAATGGTGTGTGATTTTTGCATTTGTCGAAGACTGGCCTTGTCTGGGAGCAATTTTTGTCGGGACGCAACTGCGTAAGTAGCAGTGGGGAACTGGTGTCTAATCCTGTAGTCGGCGGGTGTGTGAACGTATGGGGGAGGGTTAGCGCCGCGGTTGCTAGTTCGACGGTCGACGGCTTGAGGCGGTGGACTCGTTATGAGGCTGCTTGTTCGACTGACGGACTGACTGCAAAAAGCTTCATCTGAAATGTTTAGCCAAAGCACTTAATGAATTGCAGTTCATGCCTCGCAGCGTGACTTTCACACTAGTAAGATCTAAAATACTCAGTAATGGAGAAATCCGTTTATCTGAAGTACATCCAGTGTCTTGAAGTATGTATTCCATGAAACTCTGAGAAATTAATAAATTTATACTTCGGACTGTTGTAACAGAAAACTGCACGGCCTTACCTAGGGAACAATTATAGCTTAAAAACCACTCAGTGGTCGTGATGATAATGATGATGCACGGGCCGCTAAATAAGCCGTTCATTATCGACCATTTGTTTCTCATGACAGTGGCACAAGCTATTGCAGGTGCAAACATCTGGCCATTTTCACTTTAATGCCCCACACTGACCACCAAATATCCCCCTCCTCCGTGAAATGACATAAACTGTTCAACATCTTACAATATCAATGGGCAGTTGGCATCCATCCTAAATCAGGTGGCATTTTCAAACTTCGAATTAGAGAACACTTGTTCATTTCTTCTGTAAAGATGATGGGCAGTTATAAGCCCTGTGCGCAGGCCTTTAGAATTTTATTAAATTGTTTTTCAAGGGACCGATTAACTTGCTTTCCATTATTGAATTAACTAACCGACTGATAAATAGACAACATCAACGGTGTGTCAGCTGTCAAAAACTGTGATCTAATTTCAAGTAAAAAAACATGCAGACGGGAGTGTTCAAACATGAATTCAATCCAAATCGAGGTCAGGCCCCCCAGTTTACTTTATTACCATCATTATTACTGACATGAAGTTCCTGAGTATGTCAAATTCAATATCCACATAAGTTTATCCATTTTTTTCTCTTTACTCCATTAAGCGGACAACCTCTCAAAAGGGACGCCGCGTAGAGAAGCGACTGTCGACCTGAGTTTGCTAATTGTTAAAAAAATTCTGAAATTGGGAGGCGACATGAACACGAAAAATATTACTCGACCTACAATGCTTTACGACCGGAGGCTAAATGAACAGTTTTGCCTTCTTAAGAGAAAAACCGAGGCTCAATAAGGAAAAACCTTCCATGTTCAGCCATTTGAGCTCCAACTGACTGGACTGACCAAAAATGAGTCACTGACGCAATTGAAAGAAAAACGCATTCTAGTCTGACAGATGGAGCCTTGCACAACCCACCATGTTTGTGCTTCCAGGTCGAAAAAAGGTCCGTGCTTTCCGCATACAAGGTGACAAGGTGCACGACTTCTGGTCGGTGCCATGTGCCATGAGATGGAAACCGATTCCGCCGAAGTGGCGCAGCTAACAGTTTGCGAAATCGCACGCAGAAACAGTCGCACTTGTCCTTTGAAATCGTTTTTGATGGGTTTTAGGGCCATTCTTAATTCTTAAAGCGCACACTTTGAGAAAGTGAAGGCTAAGAGAATTCGGTCCAATGGGCTCAATGAGAAGTGCGAGGTGTTAAGCAAGTGGTTACACTTGCATGATTGGAAGGGAAACGTTAAGTGAACTTGATAGTAAAGGGAACTGCTCAACTCTGAACTATAGCTGCTTTGCATTTCTCACATTCCTCATGTTATATGCAATATCTTTAATAACATATCGTTCTTGGCGTTTATTTCCACTTTGTGCAAAAACAGTAAATGGCAGCACATAGCAATTCCTAAGTTTTTTTCAAGTCAAACGAACTAGCAAAACTAGAGAACAGTGTAAGATGCATGACATGGATTGGTTAATTTTCAGCAAAACAACAGTGCGATATGTACCAAAATGGGGAAAAGACATGCTGGTCGCACTCACCGGTGCTCGAAACACTGCTTTCCCCGGGTGACACACAACGGCCTTGCAGGGCGGGCATTGGCAGCATGGGGGAGTAGGGGGCGGGGCCGTTTTTATGCGTGAACCGTCCCACCATGCTCACACTGCGTTGTACCCCCCTTGGGGGGGCAGGTCCTATTTTGCCCTGACAGGAGATGGGGGCGTTTGTGCGGCCACCTTGGGCATCTTGGGGTCTCAAGCAGGAAGCAGCATGGATGGGCCTGACCACTTCAAGGACCACGGAGTTGGACTTCAAGGTGTCGAGCAGATTGACCACTTCAGTGTGACAGGCACGACTCACGTCAACATGGTTTATCTGAGATCAAAGGAAAAAGGCTACTGTGGCATTTTCAGGGTGGGCGGCTGAGATTGTCTTCAGTTCCTCATTGATTTTAGAAATTTCGAGGTACGCTGTGGCACAATTTACCATTAGCTACAAAGCGTACGCACAACCTCGAGTTCCAGACTCCAATGAACAACCCAGGTCGACAAATGACTTAAACAAGTTCCCGCTTTGCTAGTGCTAAACACACTGCGTCTGCATATCGGAAGACCTTTCACAAGGTCAGATACCACCCATGCCTTGACAACTGATGTGGGTTGTTGGAATATCTGCTGAGTATTTGAGTGAGCCGTTTTTAATCTAAGTAATCGATTTCAGGATTCGTATTTTAAATTGCATACCAATACGTGTATAGTTTAAACATATTTGTATACATAAATTAGTACCTTATTTTTATGTTCCGCACCAATTTGCATAATAAACCTTTCCTCAAGACATGGTTATAGCTTGCGTGCACTTAAACTTGAGAGTTGAGTTGTTAGAAAATCATTTATGTACAAGTCGAAGGTTTGCATGATGCAAAAATATGTATTATCAAGTGAACTGCTTACTTTTAGGAGACACCAGACATGGCAGTCTCATTTGCTGATTTTAAAAGCCGCAGAGTAATGCGAATGCAAGCAGGCAATAGAAAGTGCGTTTTAGGCAGTCATAATTAGCCAAATGCAAACGACTGATATTTTTGTTTGACCAGACGATTATAAAATAATCACCTCAATTACTACTGAAAGCTCATGTCAACAAAAGAGCAAAGACATGCAGGTGAATGCCACAGGAACGTCGTTAGTACGCAAAGGAACAATCCGAACAGCGGGACCCAACAGAAATAGGAAGCCTTCACCCATGTTTACAAAGCCTCCCCCGTCAGGTAAACATGCAGAAGGAGTGTTGTTAAAGGCAAGCACCAAGCATTTCTTGCTGTCAACCCCACAAGCCTTTAGTGAAGTCTTACGCAAAGAGAGGGCCCTCAGCCCTACCTGTCACATGAGTTACTTTAGCAACAGCATAGATAGCTAATGTGTCAGCCTTAGTCAGCTTATCGTCATCTCATTTACTTATGGCTTTTTTGGTCTGTTTGGTGCTCGATAATGAATGACGCGTTAGTTTTCATGTGGTAGGAATTGCGCAGTTCGGATTCTTAGTTGTGACAATTTGGTCAGAGCAGAAATGAGAACGACGTTGATACGTAGTTACTGCTGAGGCCAGCACCGCCGGCACATGAAGTGCGCCTGTGAACGTTTTACGCTCTTGTCGGTTAAGGCATTTGAATGAACTTTTAGCATTGTCGTGGAGTTAGCCATGATGTAATATGTGGCCTGTTACGGCACCGGAGTGCCTAAGCGTGGTCAAACGCGTCCACTGCTAACCACTTTAGCATATCCTAATGCTATGAGGTCAGGGTATAGCAAATCAAGTGTCTTCATTCTTAGGTTCAGCGTGCATTTTAAAAAAAAACTAAAGAACCTGAAACATTAGGGACATTTTTTGCAAGATTTTACCACCAATACGAACAGTTTGAGCACATGGTTCTATAAATCAACAGACCTAGCCCTTGGAAATTATTTCCAGTCCTTAAATACTTTGGAAAAAGTGTTAATTAAAATTAAATGAGGATTCAAAAACAAAAATAATGATAAAATGGGCCATTTTGGTGTTGTCCAAAAAAGCCAGAGAATTTATCAACAAACAATTTTCAATGCATGGTTATGGTAATACCAAATTAGGGCACCGATGTAATCCCCCAGTGACCTGGTGCCCTCGCAGCGATCAGACAGTTTCCAAAGGTGTCAATCAGGTCACCATTTGTGAAGCTTTAAGCAGTTTTGCACACTGGGCCGGTGAGCAGGCGCTAATAGCCAAGACTAACAGTCATGCTGCTCGTGAGAGATTGCAATACTTGTCACAGTATGGTACATTTGCTTCAACTGAAACCCTACTGACTTTGAGTTACCAGCCATCCATAGGTTTAAGCCACAAGATAGAGTGGAAAGCACGTCCTGCCGAATTGAAACGAAGCAATAGTTTTTTGGGCGCTAAGGCAGAATTCAAATTAGCAAATGATAATCGAAAATAAAACAGCAACATTTGCCAATGACAATTCATTAATTTTGTCTATCGATGCAATTTACCTGCCCCTATTGGAAGCTTGAACAAAAACATGAGCACTTATGTAGTAGTACCTGTTAAACCGTGTTGTTTATAACAAAAGACAATTAAGCCAAACTGAACGTGTTCTAGCTTTGTTTGGGTACGCTAATGTATTAGCTTTAAAACACGTAAAGCGGTCATTTCTGCAAATAACCCGTGTGGTGGCTCTCACTTTCTGTCCTGTTAAGTGTAGGTGAATTTTATGCGGAACAGTCGTAGGGAATTGGTGGTCATATTGTGAGCTAGGTATTCAGCGGTTAAGTACATCCCAAACATAAGCATATTCCGCTACTCAAATTTCTGTGACTCCTCCAATCAAAAGGGACGGCATCCGACCGACTCGCGGGGATATCAGGGAACATGCCATTTATACAATGTATCCATGAGCTCCTACGCTCGCCTTAATTTTATCGAATCGTATCAATTAACCATTACTTAACCTCTTGGTGGTTAAGTAGCATCGTCAATCAGTGAATGAATGTGTTCATGAAGTGAGTGTGCTAGAATATCCCAAGACACCGTCTCGTATACGCTCCCTGGGTCACGGTTAAAAGTACATGACTCTGGAAACAGGACCGTTCATGGTTCAGTTTAGCGCGTGACGACGTGCCTTCTGCGGATGAGCTTAGGCGGTGTGATCAGGAGCAGGCGTTTCAAAGCAAAAACACGTTAATGGAAGGATTGCCAATGTGTGGACCTACCCTTTAGGGGACTTTTAATATTTTAAATAGACTTGATTATATTGGAGCATCTAGAAGGCTTTAGAGATATGAGCAAAATTAGAAAGCGATTAAATATTCAACGTCGAAGCATGGGAATGCTTGGTATCCCAATTAAAGAAATAGTGTTTGCTGAAATCCATCACAATATTCTTAGCTCAGACAACTGGTGATGTCCACGAACGCCTCTTTTACTTATTGTTGTAACAAACTCTGAATAGAAAGACCGAATGACCGTAATGAAATTTCATGATTAATTGAATCATTTACTTTGCAATTTTCGATGTGGGAGAGTTCTTGACAGTTAAACGTACTTGGGTAATAAAGCATGAGGATGTGATTTCGATTTCCATTAACTTAATGTCATATTCGGCACACGGCGGTGGGATCAAATGTTTGTACACTCTCACCGTTTTTTTAAGTTATGAAACCATCTCAATCAATCCGAAATTGAGGTAATGAGGGGGGTGGTAGTGGTCGCATAAATCGACTGTAACAAGAAATGGATTACAAATATATCGTTAAATATCATGTTGAAAATTCCCCAAAGGCACTCAATGGAAACAGTTATACAGCTGAAAATGAGACGAAAACCAAAATTTTACATGCATGAAAGTATCCAAGTGTAATTCAGTTTTAACGTCATTTTAAAGTGAATAACTCCCTCCTTAAATATTGTTTTCTTTTAGGGTGCTTCATCATGAGAATGTAATACTCACCACTTGATTAACTGGCGACTTGAAAGTGGATTCTGAGTCTCTTTCTTCAATTCATGCATCAAGATGAGAAAATGTTTGATTGATCAAAAAACTAGTTTGTCTGATTCACATAGCCTTCTTCTGATTGACGGAACATAAAAGTTGGTTGTTGGTGCAAAATACAGAATATGAGTATTTTCAGTGACATATTGTTTTCTAACTGCTTTGACATCTTGACCAGAATGTAAGAAATAAATTGGAGTCGAAAATTTTTTTTATGGACTCGAAGGCAAAACCTGAGCCCAATCTGGGATAAGAAATAAGCGTTTGACAAAAGGAATGACTGATGCAGGAGCATTCAGGCAAATGCACACCTCCACACACACACACGATGGCAGTTGCTCGCCAAACAACAGCCCTTAAGCCCCTGGCAGAGGCGTGTTTGCACGTGAAAGAAGAGTCAAACACACAAGTTGGTCTTCACTAATGTATCCGTGTTTGCATGTACAACGGTACTGCTTGGCGTGAATGCACGCCTAGTTGTGCTCGCGACGGTGACTTAAGTGATTACTCAGTTGCATGCAAATGTGATGTTACGTGTCCCGGGGAGTGTGAAGTAACTATAAATAACCCTTTAGGGAACAACGCCCACTTTGATTGGCAATTTCTAAAACCATAGCATGACCATGAAAAAGATAATGCGTGTCAAGCAAATTTACGTCCCGCAATCAAATTTGGTCTACACTTTGATCTACTCAGGATGTTTTCAGCTAGTGTGCATAATAACTCACTCCTTGTATTTTATCAAAAACCATACCTCAAGCACGCAGCATTTGCCCTCAAATTTCATGTAATCAAGGGGTTTGTTATTGATGCCCTCAAACTGATGCCTTTCACGTAATGGAATGGGCTGCAGTAATAAATATCTTGTGGTTTTTGCGGTATTTAAAAAGATCAAGGCGAGTTTTAAAGTAAACGCGTGTTATCTGTCTCGCTGTGAAATTAATCACCTTAAAGGTGTCAATGTTTTCGGCCGTCATTGTGATGGTCACGTTCCCGGCTCGGAGCTTAATGTAGCGGCAGATAAATCAAGTGCACGAGTATCTAATGGCCTCGACCAGTTTTAAAAAATGCACTAACATGAGTCAGGATCTGACGCAATACCAAGTCAAACGAGTAACCCGTATATTTAACCTGTGCAACCCACTTATACAGCCATTATCCGTACAACCGAGAGCAAAATGAATAATAATGAAGAGAAAGAAACGCTGATGGCGAGTATGGAGATGATGTTATCATCTCATCACCAAATAATGTAATAAGGGCCTATGGCATTTAATGCAAGCTTTAATAAAACGGTTTAATTTGTCAGTAACGGTTCCAGTGAATTGCTTGGAATAAGACTTACATTTGAATCACAAAAAAACCAACTACATCAACGTTTTCAGTGTTATTTTATCAAACTACCACGAAGTGCATCGTTGCGTTTCATGTAGATGCATTCTTGGGTCCACATAGGTTCAACTACCTTAATAGACTGAATTGTCCTTCCTGTTTGTAAACAATGGACAAAAGGGACCGGTATATAGGTACCTCTGGTGTAGATAAGCGGTTTGCGATTGTTTGAACGAATCAACACACATTTTAGATCTTCATTTTAAGCTAATTCATGCAGATGTGCGAGGAATACACTATTTAAGGTTGCTCTCACCTTAATGACATAGTCGCCTTCACGTAGGCCGGCGTTGAAGGCAGGGCTCGCAGGTTTAACTTGCTTAATCAACTGAAGACTTGGCTTGGCTTGGCTTGGCACGAAACGTTGGACAGCAGATGTGTCTATTGTGGAGGACAAGAATTCATATATGTGTACATAACCGTAAATTTGTGGTGAATCACGTCTCGCGTTACACATAATGCTACTTCCAAGCCAGCAATTTTTATCCGAGTTGAATCGTCTGTACAATGGATGCTGATGTGGCTTTGTTACATAATTACGGGTGGCATAATAGGCACCAGCTTCCAAAATTAAAATAACCATCACCCACAAGAAAACTTGATGAAAACCGGAACACACGTCAGGTGAATTTTCAGGCGTCGTTAATCTATGCAAGGTTGTCAAAAATCTGAATTCCAAAACTTGCCACCTTTCTGACTAACCATTGAAGTTTCTCAAACATTTTTAAAACAAAGATGTTAGAAACAGCATTTCGCGCAACCAGGCATCAAACCCACAACTGCAATTATCAGTTGTGTTTTCAGCAAAGATTAGTCGACATCCGTCGTTTACGCGTCATGGTGGTCGACTTGCAGAAGCCGCTCGCCTGTTTGTTCACACAGTTAATAAGTCACCGAAAGGGAGTTACATATGATGGGGGTTCATGACGGCTGCTGAAAGACGGTCGCATTAAACTTACTCTGCACAGTCCGTAGAGTGAGGCCGAGCGTTGGAATCCGTGGGGCATCAGGCAAATAGGCTTTGTGCAGGACCACAGTGCGCGCGACCCCAGCACCGCCCTCTCTGTTGGCACTCGTGCCACCCACCAGGTCCGCATGCGCGGGTGATTGTGTGGGTGAACAGGCCCCTGACAGGTCACCTGCCTTCACGGGCGACCTCGCGAAATGGTGTGAGTTGCGTTGACGTGGGGACACTGGACGAGGGGACACCGAGACAGGACAGAAGGGATTTGTCGGAATAGGGGCGTTTTCTTGACTCTGGTGACCCAAAGTCTGTCCTGTCGATATCCGCCTAGGATACACAGAACATTCAGTCACCATTTCAAAGGCTTTTATGGTGGATTTTTACCTCAAGTGACTTTCCTGTTGAGCGTTACGTGGTGTTTGATGCTAGTTTGATAAAGTTCATCGAAGTATTATTGTACTATGGAATACTTCTTACATGACTTTCGCGATAAAATGGCGACTCACGCATCCGTGTGTTGGCTAAATGCCCCTAATAGGAATTAGACTGATTGGGTCTCCATAACTTCTTGCCATAAAGTCCACCGAGTGATCTTTTAAGGCTTATTGAAGTGCTGAGTATTTATCAGTTCCACTAAGGCCTCTGTAAAGCCTAATTCGGCAAGCAAATCACTCGATGACGTCGTGCAATTAAAACGAGACGTGCAGAGACGTAATACACTCATTTTCCAGACTCGAATCAGCACTCCCACACACTGGGATACATCTTGCATTGCAAATAAAACAAATTGCTGTACTCATGGGTTACAGTTTATTGCATCGCAGAACACTGGCAGTTAGTTAATTGCCCTCATTTTACCATAGGATTCCATGCACGTCTGATTGTGACTACGTAGCGCCAGGTATATGGAATTCCTTAACACAGTTCACGAAAACCAGCTCAAAACTAGTGGCTGCTATACCTCTTACGATCTTGTGAAATCCATCACTGCAGTTTTGAAATAAAGGCTGAAAGTCAAGTTTCCTAGTGAATCCATGTTGAAACCTTAAGCCAACATAAGAGTACTTCTCGAGCCTAAGTGAACAAAACACCCTCCTCGGCTGGAATTGAGGGTTTTGGTAGCTGGCGGATGTCTTTTTTTCCGTTCCGAATGCAAAGTAGGCAAGTAACGCTTCATATAATTGCATGTCAGCTGATTAGCATCAAGAAGGCGCAGTGTGGTGCAGCCATGGATGAAAGCGGTACGGCGTGTAAAGTGTTCCCCTGGGGTATTTAAAAAAATTACTGGAAATTTACTTCTAGTGCGGATCTAGCAAACACCCGATGCGATCGCACTGAATCTCCAATAGACAAAATGTAAAAGTTATGCGAACGTGGTGCTGCGTTTCTTGTAAGGCCTGTGTTACGTAAATTGGCTGACAAAAGTGACAGTAAAAGTGATCGCAGAAGCGAGTGGGCTTCAAGACGGTGGGAGTCGAAATTTGCCTTAACATTAATTTTAAACCGTCAGTTTAATAATATTTAGACATGAGATTAGGCACAGTAAAGAATTGACAGTCATTTTCATTTAGCTTTTTATAGAATTTTCCGGCATTTACAAACGGTTTAGTACATTTGGGTCTAAGGTATATCTTTCGAAAATCTTTGATTTACCTATTCACACACGCAGGAATCCTAACACCTGAAGAAAATAGCCCACCAAACTTTAATTCGCAGGCTATAAAACACACCAAGACTGTAAAATTATAAACGCTTTCTAACGAAAAGCATTTGGTGTTAAATAGCCTGACACAAAATCTTGACCAGAACTGCATTTTATTACTTTAACCAAGCGGACAGTGTTGGTGTTTTTCAAGGGCTTTCCAATATACTGATCCCGAAAGTCCATTTACGATCATAGAATTAAATTATTGTAAAGATTGTCAGCAGAAAAACATGAATCCCATACCAAGGATGAATAAATGGTGGGATATGAGCGCTAACTAGGATGGAGCATTTCCTGCCGTCAAGTCTGCCTGATTTGGAGGGAATCGCAAACGCGCCGATGCAACGTGTTTTTCTCTAACCTCACATATAGGTCAGATTTAACTATCTATACTCAGAGCTACAGGAGGGGTATGTGGATTTAACATCGTGGAACGCAACAAAGACACTCACATAAAAAAAACTGAATGGCTCAAATTACACACAACACCTTAGCTTCTTTGCGTCGTGAGGTGAAAGCTGAGCAACGACGGAATAGGTCTTTAAAATGGCTTAACTTACTCTCTGCGTGCAAACTGCCCAACAGTGAGGGACGTGTCCTGGGAAGATCGCGGCCGTTCAGAGCAGGGATTCGCAAAGGGCGCCGTTTTGGACCGTCTCAAGGCCCTGGCTGCATCCTCTCCGCGCTGACCACTGGTGAATCGGAATTCGCCACCTCTTAGAGGCATGGCTGGCATGACATCAGCCGCCTCCTCCTCCAAGGCTGAATCTTCATTCAGAGTGTGAGAGGATTTCCAACTCTTTAGGCACTTCCTGTTGCAGTTCTGGCTTAATGAGCGACCTAACCACGTAAATAGGCAACATTCAGTGGAACCACGCTAAAATAATTCCATTCTGATCAATTTCGTTTCTGCGTTCTCAATAAATAATTTACTACAAGTTCAGATTGATCGCCCCCGAACATGTGTCCTTGATTAATTAGTTGAAAGTCGTTGAGTTCTCCCGCATCGAAGATCATGATTGTCAGCGCACGCCTGGCACGTACTTTGGAATAAGCAGATGTTAGGGCTACCACTTATGCTAACCACAGACCTCAACGTTGTACAAAATTTTTAGAAAAACCAAGTTGAGCTAACAACCAAATCACTAATCAAATATGGTGCATTTCGTGACTCAGCATACACATCATCAGGTGAAACCAGGTAGGTCGGAAACACCAGGAGAGGTCAAATGACTGAGGGAGAAAAGCTTTTATCTCTGAGATTTAAAACCCTTAAAAAACGAAAAACTGGCCTTGTGTGGTACTTTTTACTAGTGAAATCCAGGGACCGTTTGAAAATCTGCCTAAATACCTCTTGTATAAGGACTCATAAAAGTTTTTGATAAGTTATCGGATGACAAGCATTTCACAAAGCACTCATTAACCATGCTAACAAATTACTCCGACTGGAAATGGCTTTGATAGGTGTTACACCGAAGTTAAAGGGAGTTGTGTTTTTTTGTGTTGACAAGAATATAACAATAGTAGTTATCTTTAGCATAAGTTTACGCTACACATTTTACTCAATTTATTGGTCAGAATATTTAGATCGAAAGATAGAAACTTTAAACCAATTTCCTTGGCTTGCAACTGGTCAGATTCAGTTAACGTGATCATGGTTTGGGTCAAAAATGTACGTGTGCAGTCTCGACTTCCCTTGGTTCCTAAACTTCATCTTAAGACCAACGTTACAGGTCCGTAAAGTCTTGTGACAAACTCAGACACGCGTCACTTAAAGAAGCTAACCCTTTTGTCACGCCCAACTGACCTAAAGAATTCTAATTCGTGGATTAAGGTTAGAGATTTGACTGAAAAAATTTCCGTAACTTTGAAAATTGGGTCAGTGCTGATCGAAGCCCTCATGTCGTCTTCTATGACCAGCCAAGTTAAAAAAGCACACGTCTGTTCACAAATCAGGGGCTAACTCACAGGTTTTGAGTCCAAATGCTGAATTATACCTGTTGACTAATGTAATCCACACAGTGGAGGGAATATGTAAACTAAAATCAAAAGCCAAATGAACTGGCTGCATCTTACTGCGATTGTAGATTAACCGCAATAAATTTTGCATGTTGCCTGCATTCTTCCAGTTGTCTAAAGCCGAAACATTACAAGCTGATGATGATATTAGCACGTGGCTCCAGGAAGCAAAGAATTGAAAGATAAAAATCTGGAAAATTTGACAGTCAATAGCCTTTAGGAAGGAAATATATTGCTTCATGTGTGACTGCTTGCTACAAACGCCTCCTGTAAAAACACCCATTTTCAGCCCACTAGCTAAAGAACGAGTGGGGCATAAATTATGCACCCACAGTGCTGAGTCTGTACAAGGAATAGGCAAAGTTGTCTTCGACTCGACAGCGCATACTTGAATCTCATTTACGGCGGGCTGTTTTTTTTCTAAAAGACGTAAACCCACATTGATTTTTAGTCGGGCTAGCACCGCCGATATTACATCCCAAGAAAAATAATTTGTGTTGAATTGAGCGAATAAAATTTGTTTAAAATATGCTTTGTTGCAGTGAGCCTCTATGCTTGGGTTGGTAAAATTGAGCACTTTGATTGCTTAATTGACGGAACTTATGTAAGAGCTTGGTGAAAGGCTACAAAGACAGGTAAAATGACAAAAAGTGGGATCGACTGAGAACTTTGTTAACATGATGAAATCTCATTTTTCTCATTGTTTGCTGGTTTCTCTGTCACTGCTCCGGCAAACATTACTGACATCAAAGCTAGCCATTAGAGTTTCAAGTCGCCATTGCGTATCCACATGCCACGGGAGGTTCATGTCTGTTACTTATCACAGTTCAGCAAGATAACTCTATTAATTTCGTTAAAATGCGTTCGTTTCAAACGAGAACAGTCAGAAGGACACTTTCCAATCCTGGTTTCTAATGTTTGTTGACTTGATGTAAAATTCCGAGTTAATAAGTAATTATGAAATCGTAGTTGGGTAGTTCTGAATCCAGCGGACGCTCTGCACAACTATTTCCAACTTCAGATTTATTTCAGTTATGTTGAGAAAACAGGAAATCCAAACCACTTATGGCGCATGTTATTTGCTTTGTGCAGGGAAACCGTGACTTAGGTGTAATAACAATTAATGAGCGAATTACCAGTGAGCAAGAACAGCGTTTCGCATCGGTAATTTGTGCTAAAAAATCATGGCTGTTTCTACAGATAATTTTAATGTTAGATAGTAAAGTTCTTGGTTTCGCACATAGCCCATCGCAGAAGTGATTAAAGTGCCTATAATCGTGTGCACGCAAAACAAGAAAGTCCCGGCATGTTATAACGACCACGTGCTCAAAGTGGCAGAATAAAATGCCAAAAATGTGGTTACTACAAAGAGACCCACCATTTTTCTTGACACAATCCGCGTAGCCACGAGCAACCCTTTGTCGTCGAGTGCGTCGTGAGTTTCGTCTTTCCCGTGAAGACTGAACACCGCATCCTGCTCTCGCCTTTTCTTGCCCCTCTTCTTCTTCCTCCTCCTCCAACGATCGAAGCAGATCCCCATCTGAAGAGGCCCTTCCACGGAGTCCGTGGTAAGGCGAAGAGGTGGAAGTGGGGGAAAGGCGTCGAGTGGTGCCGTCGAGGGTGCTCTGCAGTCGACTGTGATCTGCTCCCGCGGGATTGATGTGCACGGGACTCACGGGAAAAGGCATCGTGACACTGCGAGATGGTCCTTTGCGCTCGGCGCCAAGCACGGTTAGGCTTACGTAATCATCAAGGGGTGAAATCTGCAGCGGTGCTGTCATCGGCTTACGCTTTTGATTGTATGTGGGTGCTGGGAGGAATGGGCCACCTATCGATGACAAACATGCTTGAAAACCACGATTCCTTTTCCCACAGTTGTAATTTTAACCTGGTTTCTTGAGTATTCCGAATGCATTAAGAACGAAGAAGCACATGCAAGTCTGAAACCGCAAACAGGTTTTGCTCGAGCAAGCTCCAAAGGTTTGATTGGTCCGCCTGCATCGAAGTTTGAGGACGCTAACATGCACCTTGTTCAGCATTCATTCAATGTTTATCGTACTGTCCACTTTTTCTACCATTAAAGGCTACAGTCGAAAGTGGCAAAGAATTGAGTGGAACGGGATTACCTTCTGCATGTTAGGACACTTTTTTTAATTTGTCGAATTACCAAAGCCTTACACACCCAAAATCCAATTTGAACTTGTGCCAAGTCGTCGGCTGGTTTATTGTATTCAGTAATCACATTTAAGATCATTAAGTGCATGTATGGCAGCATTAATGCAGTAAAATCTGCCAGCTATGTGGCATAATCCAAATCTATTGGTTAGCATTTATTTTAAAATTGTGAATTCACAGTAAAAGTTCCGCATTCAAAACAGGTTCTCTGTTGCTGCATATGCCACTTCAAAAATACGAGATTTATGCCTAAAATAGTCCAAAATTTCCAACAGAATATTTTTTTCCTTAATCTACAACTTATGCTGCTTCGTTTAAATTCCTCATTCCGGAAAGCTAAATCTGACATTTTGTCCACTGGCGTTTGAACTTAGGTTAACCAAGAGTTCAACGAAAACGTGTAGAGAAACAGGTACTTGATTTGTCAAAGCTTTCAGAGATACCTTAATTACTTTTTTCCGTACCAATTTTGCCATTATTAAACTGAGATGCTCTAAAATCCATGGCAGCCGTGACATTGAGAGGCTTTGCTTGAATAAAATAAATTTAATGCTCTATCTTTCATCAGAGACTACAGTTTAGTTTTTATGGATTCAGTCCATAGTTGATTCTAATTTGAGAGATATTGAAGGAGCACGTACTTTCTGTAGAGAAGTATAGTGTTTAAAAATTGTCAATTTAAGTTTAGTCTAACAGGCGACAAAAAAAAACAAAATATAATTTTTTAATTGGCATTTAAACTAGTTAACTTGCATTGTCTTAGGATACAGACAAATAATCTTAAAATGAACAGATCACAGCGGGCTTGAGCGCCAACACTTACAGATGCTCCCTTCAGATGCTCCAAAATTCTTTCCCCCTCCACCAGTCCCGGCCCGAAAGTTGCGGATAATTTCAGCCACCTCATGATTACCATGAAGACGAGCCTCTTCAACGGGAGTGCGACCTTTGTCGTTAGTGAGTGTTGGGTCAGCACCCCAGTAGAGCAAACGTCTAGCTGTCGCGCACTGACCGGCGATGGCTGCGTAGTGCAGAGGTGTTTCACGGCCACAGCCGAGTATTTGGTTGAGGCGTAGTTGGGTAGCAGATGACTGAGTCCCCGAGTTTTGTGACTTGGTTGTGCGTCTAGGAAGAGCGGGACGACCAGGCGGATCCATTTCAGGACGGGAATGGGACCGTGCATTTACATCTGCGCCGTACATAATCAGTAAATTAATTTGGTCTGTCCGGCCAAGCAAGGCGGCCTGTGGATAAAAATAATGGTTAACGCATTTTTTGTCTTATGCAATGTAAAAGAATGTAGCAAAACCAACATTTTTTGCAATAAGTTGTTTTAATTAAAATCGCATAGAATATATATTTGCAATACATATGACTCGGCTTGCCTGGTGTATTTCCTGTCTACCTCCAGAGTCGTAAATTTCAATTTGTGCGTGTTCATACAAAAGCCTGTGGCAAATTCTCGTGTCTACGTCCTCAAGTATATTGTGGTAAAGTGGAGTCAAGCCATTCGCATCCAGTGTGTTAGGCGATTGGCCAAAGTCAAGCAAAGCCTTAACGGCCTCAAAATTTCCGATTGAGGCTGCTTTGTGAAGCGGAGTTATCCCTCCACGCGTTCGAAAATCTTTATGGGCACCTCCTGCTATGAGCGTTTTTATCATTTCTAATGGTCTTGGTCTCCCGACGGCTACAGATAAAGGTGATTCTAAAATTTCATTGGAGTAAATGCCATAAATTTGCTTTTACCTTCTGTTCTTGGACAAATATAATTAGGATCAAATCCTCTTGACAGAAACTTTTCAACTTTTTTAATTTCACCACGAGCAACAGCTCGAAGAAACGACTGAGGAAGATTTTTATACTTGTCTCCAGGTAGCAGGTTAATGAGTGCAGGCGGACTGATTCGTATTTTGTATGTAAACTAAGGTATTAACCAAATTAACCCAAATTAACCAAGTGGCTCACTTCTAGGACACAGCTAGATTCATCGGTAACATATGCTGATATTGGACGATCTTCTTCGAGAAATTTGCCATTTCTTCCATTAGCAGGTGGAATAAAAAGACCGTAGTTAATACTATCAGTAATCTGATTCCCAAATTCGTCCAGCAGCTTCTGTTTTACGTGATTCACCAGAGCCTTTGACAAAGCAGACGCGTACACTTGCTTCGACAAAAAGGGGATTGATATCTTTATTAGCAGAGCATTGCATGGGTCCTGCACCCTAAATGAAGAGTCTGAAGATGTTGCTCCACCAGAAAAGCGTCCTGAGTCAGTGTCACTTAACTGACTGTTAATTGTAAACTTTTTCATAACTTGGATCTGCTCATCTAAAAATTGAATGGGTATATGCAACATTCCTAATCAATAACAAAATCTGTGATTTGCAAAAAATGATGCTGATAAAAAAACACAAAAATAAGGCAGGACCACTGCAGCTAAACACGTTTGAGAATGATGATAAAATGGATCTTGCCACACTAACTGTCTTTTAAGCAGACTGAAAATCAAAAATCAGTATTGCGATATTCCACTAACTATTAACTTTTATTAACTGAGGTTGTACATATTAGGGCTTAAAATGGTAGGTTGGAACAAATGTTTGCATTGTTTTCGAAATCACAATACATATTACTATAGTACGCTGTGAAAACTAGCGGCAACCTGCATGTCACCTTTACCCAACAACATATTTATGCAATTATGGCCTTACAAAATAAACCATATTGGAACCAGCATTCTATTATAAAATATTAGGACAATACTAAATGTCAGAACATGCACTTCTCAAAACAGACAATTGTATGCCAAACATTAAAATAATTACCTATAAATCCTTTTAGTACTAAAGAAGAACACTATTAATAGTAGCACAAACACCCTCCGAAATGTTTTACGACGATAAACTCACATATTTCAAGCCAACGCCAAGGCCATTTAAATCCCAGTTTATTCCGAATTAACGAATACAAACACAAATAAAGTTCTTTTTAATATGACATTAAGTTACACAAAACACGTACTTAATGACTTAAATTTTTGTTTTCATGATTGTTCCTGCTATACAATTTCAACTGGCAACATTTAGTCGGAACATTCTGAATTTGAAGTGGCCAAAATTTTATAATAAATTTGATAAGTCCGGAATTAAAAGAAAAATTTAACTAGCAGTCGTTCTATCGTTTTTAAACTTAAAATGCCTAAATTGAAGTAAGTACGCATATCATCATATCACAAAGTTTGCGATTGGAAATGATGGAATTGATCAGTGAATGTTTAAAATTTTATTACTCTAACAGAAAAACGCTTAAATACCTATTCATGAAAAGCATAATTAAGTTGCTGCAACCAATTGAGTACCAATTTTTTGATCTGGTTTAGTCCTTTCCACTTTGTAGTAAGTTCTAATGGAACAAATTTATACTTTTCATTCCACAGCTAAAGAAGTATTAGTACAAATGCCATTAAACTCACATACCTCCATAAAAGCAGTCTTAATATAAGTTATCTAAACCAACGCACTATTTACTACTCTCCTTGCATAGTTTCTATATCAAAATTCGTCTCGACCTCCTTTTTTATTTGCGTGATGGTCGAAGTGCCGGTAATCTTTTAAAAGAACTGTAAAGAAGAAAAATCAATTAGTTAGGAACGTATTATATGCAGCCTAAAGTATGATTTTTGTCATCATCAATACCACTTTGACAATAAACTTGTTGGTTGAAATTAAATTACCGTATCTCTTCAGTAACTTTAAGAAAATTGATAATCTCATCGATTATGGGGCATGTAAATACGTCAACTAAAATGCTTATTGTCGAAAATTTTTGACTCTTTTGACAACGTCAATGGATTTAAATGTTCTCTGTTATCATCCAAGTACCATTTAAGATTTTAGAAATTCAGAAGTAAGGTGCATCTTACAATAACCACCAAAAAGTTATAGAGCAAATTTGTGGTAGTGAACTTATGCCGAATTTCAGCCTCAAAAATCACCACGAAGATTGAAGCAGGCCACAATGTTTGAGCCACAGAACAGTACCTGGTTAAACCTATGCCATGACTAACATTTTGCTTTCATTTGTTCTACTTAAGACTAGCAACATAAAGAATGGTATAATTACCAATGGCAATTGTTCCATATGCCATTTTTTCAGAATTTTAGTTTGACAACCAGTTAGGCTAATTAAAAAGACCACATTCACATCACATTTAATTATTGACCGCTGCTATTTTTGAGGGAAGTTTTGTGTGGCTAATTGGAACTGATCATGTGTATTTGGACACATAATTTTGTGTTGGAGTAGGTATAAATACGTTGTTAATGGCAACAATAACAAATAAACGGTTGCTATCAGCAGATGAAGTCACTACAACTATTTCAAAGGTCCAAATAAATTGTCGCCTTAAAATTTGTTCAAGATTTTTATAGGTACATGAGAACACTCGAGGTATTGGATGCAACAAAGACGTACAGCATAATGGGCAAACGCATGTTATTGTATAATAGAAAGTGAATGAAATTTTATCCCTCGAAACAGTTTAAAAAAATAGAAATTTCTTTGCCACGTAGGAAAAGGCTACCTTTCTTACTGACCTATTCGAAAGTATTGGATTCATAAAAAAATGTATGTTGCCAACAACATGTAGCTTTGTGTCGAAAATTGAGAACTTGTCTCTCATTAGTTAGAACAAAGGAATTATGGACCATCATTTCAACACAAGAGATAAGGTGTTAGGATTTCATTTTGGTACATAGATCTACACATGAATATCAAAAATACAATGGTAGTTTAAGAACGAAAAATCCGTGCTGAATACCGAATCAACAGCCAAATGCCAGATAGAATTAGCTGATATTGTTTAATTGGGACACATTGTCAAATATTTGTAATTCATAAGACAAAATAAAGCTTTTACCAAGTTGCAAAGAAAAGTCGAAATTATACTTATACTTACTCGTTAACCATTTTCCTTCAAGTCCAAAATTAATGATAAGAAAGTATTATTATCACTTACCCAAATAATATTTCTGTTTAGCTCCCTTTTTAAACAAAGTTGCAACTGAGGGGATTGCAAGCAACGGTGGATAGAGCAAATAAAAAAAGCAACTTGGTATGCTTAAGAACGTAAAAGTTTGATCCTTAGCAATAAATGATGCGAAAACAGTGAATGGAAATAATCAGTGACATAAAGTAAAATAATAAAAATATTAGCACGCGCTGCTATCTTCCAGCTCGAAGTTTTAAAGCAGATCCAGTAATGTAAAGTAAAGTACTTTTATGAAATTGCAAATTCTATGAAGTAGATCTATATAAAAAATATGTTTATTAAAAGTCTGTTCAAATTATAGACAGCAAGTAGCATTTTTTTAGCAGCTTATTTAAAACTTGTTCAAGGTATCTTCACCTGGCACTGATATTGAATGACTGTTCTTTAAAGACATCGTTGGTCGCTGTTCATATTTTTTCTGCTTTGGAATTAAGGTTTCTTTCCAGTACAGCAATATGCTATTTCAGACCTGAAATCTAAATATTAACAAACCTTGACCGATTAAATCGCATTAAAATATGTAATTGGAATAAATAAAGCTTTGCAATTTGTGAAATTCTCACAAAACTGTTCCAAATACCTATAAATATTTTGTTTTTGAGAAACTTGGTTTGCACATTTAATGCGTTTAAATGTTTCTGAGTATTCTGTTACTTAATAGGTCAATCAGTGATTAAGGTACACGTTATGCAGTTAATCCGGCGTAGAATACCCGAACCCTAATAGAAAGACTGGTACAACAGAGCAGGCTTCATTGACCAATCAAAAGCCACAACCACACGTTAGGCGCCGTCCATCCGAGTCCGCCACGCAGGCCATGTCGGTCATTAAATACTGGTCCTCAATCGTGTCCTTTTCTGGTAGGCTGCTTATTTTCCTCGCATGTTATTGGAAAACAGAAAGACACAGGATTGGCTGACGCCACCGTAGTCCAATATGCCTGCGCCCGCAGACGTTGCCACGCGGATGTAAATCGATTGGCTAATAACAATTACTTCAACTGAAGCATGTCCATAACCGTTAATAATTTAATCCCTTGTATTCATTACTGCAACTGTTTGTTTAATGTTTAACATGTTACATCTGGAAAATCATCTGTTTTACAATACTGAATTCCATTAGAATATTGTATAGTTTGCTACCCAAAAGAAAGCGTTTATAGTCACAATTTCATAGTGGGGATAACACATGCACCTATTAACGTTTAAAATCTTCCTTGGTGTTCGTCTTTTTGGCGTACCTGTCTGCTGAGGTCATGCCGCTGCTGTTATTTGGAATGTTCTTTGCTTTAATCGAAATGAGGATGAATATGGTCCGCCTGTCTTATCAGTAAATTAGTCAACTGAAGACCACCGCATGTAAATCAAATTCGCAAAGTTACATTTGCGAAAAAAGGTTAAGACATAAAAAAATAGTGGGAGAAACCTACGCACGAAACCTCTTGTGTTAATCATCCGACTTAAGATTTGCCTTGTGTCAGTTCTATCAAAGAGAGGACGAAGAAAGTTCAATGGAGACCCAAAGCAGTTTCAATCGAAGGTAAAAGGCTAACCTGAAAATCACAAAAGCCAATTAGAAAAATTAGTTGCAGCCTTGAAAAGGAAAGACTCTAGATGCCATCAAACATTGTACCTTATTTGATGCAGAAATCGGTCAAAAAGTCTAATAAGGAATTCTTCACATTATCCTGATACAATTAAACTATGGATTAATTGCTCAAAATTGCAATCATGGTTCAGTTTCAGTTAAAAAGCTGCATACACTCATCTGAAATGTCCATTAAACTCGAAAAAAACTTGTTGCGACATTCAGTGACATAAAATTAAAATTTTAACACTGTCCTAACTTTAAACCCTGTAAGGGTCACAAAACTAAAAGAGGAATTCGAATCGCTTAGTGATTTCTCTATTAGAAAAACGATGGGAATATTGGCTGATTTTTATCACCAGGAAAGAATCTCCAGTACCGACAGTACTTATGATACGCTTAAACAGCCTACCAAATTAAATTTTTTTGCTGCAAAGAAATGATCAAGAAGCATGTCAGAATAAAAAACAAAATCAAAATTATAATGAAGTGTTTAATAAAAATGCAGCGATTCATGGCCAAATCCAATAGTATATTAGGCTAGTGTGAAAAGTTTGTGATCACGCATTGGGGTGTAAATAATGGTGAAATGTACACTTTGTCAAATTCAAGGACGTTTAAAATATACTTAAAGTTGCAATATGGTGTGGTTATTTGTATATTAGTCACTTATTAAAAAAATAAAATTCAAACATTAGCTTAGTTAGTAAAAAGTATCACAGGTTATCTGGCATATACAACAGGGGATATTTTTTGCACGACGTTGAAGACATTAATGAGTCACGTCAACGTTAGCTATTTAAGGCAATCTCTCGACGTTAACAGGTTTCAATCGATTAGCGCAGTTAAAATTTAAGATGAGCAGCCCTGAGGTTTCCTAAAAGAGAAGAACTATGAAAATATCAAGGCCAAGTAGATAACTTGGTCAGTAGGTAAATGAATTTGAATTAGGATATCATAAAATTAATTTCCTAAAGTTTCTAAATTAACAACAAACGGAAGCAACAAGTCAAATTTTACGTTAGGAAGTCATGACATTTAAGCTTTTTTTTCAGTAATGCATTTTAGGTAGAGTAGCCAAATTTTCAATACACATTCATAGTATTTTTAAATGGAATAAGTGTTATTGAAACCCAAATGCTCCCTGGAGGCGTTTCACTCGCTGTGAATTCTTATGCGGAATACAATTTCAAGCTTAGAAAGCGTATTGACTACAGGAAGCTAAAAATGATAGTACTGAGGTGAATCCACTAAATGATCACTAAATTTCAACCTTGCACTTTTTATATCTATGCCAATACCCACAGACATTTGGCTGAGCCCTTTAGTTCATGTTGTAATCTCCTATAAAGTACCGGTACATCACAAAAATATTAAATGAAAGGAATCTGCAACCAGCAAGCCACATACATTCGACAGCTCCCAAGTCTGTACACATCCACTTTTAGCAGAACTATGGGCAACCAAACCTCCGTTGACTTTTTCATTCGTATTTGTCTTGGGCTACTTGTCGTCAGATAGATTGGCAAATGCAAAACTAAATCAGCTCTATGTGATATGGCCTCGACAAACCAAAATATTTTCAGAAGACTGTCCACAACATGCGATAAAAATAAACAAGCTTAATAAGTCTTCGGTTTTCCTTTTACTCTCAAACGGTAATTTCGCCTTCAGTGAGACAAGATGAGACAAGATGAAATAAAATCAAATTGTGCACTTTGGCAGGCCAGTAAAGGGGAGATTCCTGAACGTGACTGCTTTTTTACTAGAAATGCTTTAATATCATCATTATTAATGCAAAAGCATTTACAATTATAAATAAGACATTGTATGAGCTCATCGTCCCGGCCCGGGTTCATGTCAAAAATTGATAAAAAAAACTGCAGAAAATGAAGTTTGCACTTATGTAGGATACAGGCAAATAGTAGAACTGCCAATTAAAAACTCCGATCTGCATCAATCGCAGTTACTGCAAATTTGCAAATTATGAAATACATTGTTTAAATACGTTGAAACAGTCGAAACGATCTGATTGCTAAACACTGTTTTCGCTTTCGTTATGGGTCGTAAGAAGAGGAAGCAGGTCAAGCCGTGGTGCTGGTGAGCATTACCGTGCCCTCTCAATATTGTTTAGGTATTGTAATAAAGACTTTGAGGACGAGAAGATTCTGATTCACCACCAGAGGGCAAAACATTTCAAATGTCCATTTTGCCGTAGAAGGCTATTCACTGGTTCCGGTCTTTCTATACACTGCAACGCTGTAAGTCACGTTTTGGATTGCTGGATATTCTTGTAGGTACACAAGGCAAAGCTGGATAAGATCCCAAATGCTTTGGCACATCGGTCCAGCACGGCAATCGACATATATGGCATGTCTGGCATACCGGAGGCCGATCTGTTGGAGCACGAAAGGCAGAAACTCGGGCATGAGGGCGATGACGAACCCTTAGAAAAAGTCGATGGACTAGATGATGGGGCTGGATCGTCTTTCATCCCCCCAATTCCTACTTTCCCATTCATGCCTCCAGTTGCAGGTGTGATGCCGTATGTGCCGCTTCCTCAGGTCGTCCCTGGCGGGTAAGTTGTCTGATTTTCGTTGTATGTCTAGAGTACAAGCTTTCGTTCCTGCCGTCGCTCCTGCCCCACCGCCGCCACCACCACCTCCACCCCCTCCCCCACCTTCGTCAACGGAACCACCGACTGAAATGGTAGTATTTCTCCTTGCCGATCGATGTTTTTTAGGCACCGCCTAAACCGACTTTTCCGGCGTATTCGGACGTTGAAGTAACGAAGGGTCCGGCACCCAAGATAATTCGACCCGCGGCTGGAGTTAATGGAGTTGCTGTGGAGCTGGTGTATCCAGAAGAGGATTTGTCATTGGTAATTTCCCGTCTGTGAAATCATTAAAACATTTTCAGGAAGAGTTAATGGCAGCAAAGCCGAAATATCAAGAAATGCTTGAAAGGGCATTAAGGCCCCTGCCACCTCAGACTAGTTTGTCGACTACCACAATGCCACCCACAGCACCTGCAGTGCTATCTCCCTATGTCCCACTTCCTCGAGGTGTCCCTGTTAGCACTTCTGCCATGCCATTCATGCCAGTACAGCAGACAAGTAAGATTTTAATTGTCTTGATAAAATGTTTAGTGTTTGGCATGCCAGCGTATTCTCAGCCCATGGGTCAAGTTCCGCCTACCTGGATGGGGCTTCCAAACGTTCGGTTTTAGTACAAGTCAGTGGGCCGTGCTATTGTGAACATTATTTTTTGTCAGCCTATTATACTCAAAACACTGTTTGTATAGGTCTTGCAATTGTAAAAATGTGACAATTCTAAACGTTCTTTCTTTTTTCGATGAAGGGACATAGGGAGCAATACACAACCCTTCAGGTATTCGCAGGGATACCGGTATGTCAAACATTGTCACATGTAGGTCTGCTAAGTAGCGTCTGATTTGACATTTATGTACGCATTCCACACCAAAACTGCATGGCCCGGCTACATAAGGTTAGTGTATTAACTTTTTTGGCAGGCGAAGCCAAAGTCTGTGCTGTCGATCGGCCGGCACGTAAGTTAATGTTCTGAGATTTAGGTCAAACGGTTCTGTTTTGGATCGGTTCAGTGGTTAGTCTTATTGAAGGTATGTCATGTATATCGTGTGTTCGAGGAAGGCCATTTTCCAATAAAAAGAATTGAATCGTTCTTAAGTTGTCTTCTCATTTTGCTTCGGTCTAGTTATGCTAGCCAGCTAGTCTATTAAAGGCTCAATGGAAATATTCCTTCCCCGGTGGTTTAAACGTAAAGTTAACTGAACGATAGCCGGGTGCTTCTCCGCGAATGCCTCACTTCACCTCTTTCTGCGGATTGGTGATCTCCCTATTTGTGCGGTCATATCTGGACTATGACAGTGCTTAATTTAACTGAAAACTAACGTATGGATCAGGTCGTGGTCAGTGGAAGTGGTCTATGCCCCACTGTCTGCATAGCCTCTATGGCTCGTTTGCGGCTTGTCTGTGTGCGTTGCTAACTTAAATGCGTTGGATCCCTACGTTCCATGATGTGGTCGGCGCTAGGTTTCGCTAGAATGTGAATCTGGTTCACGGCCTAAGATGACTGAACACAATTTGGCGTCAGGGTGTCTCAGTGCATGCATACGCGTCATGGTCACCTTTGAAAACCCAGATAGTAATCGGCCCGGACGAAATGTATGCATGATCCCCATACTTGAGATGTGGCTGAGGTGATGGTATGGTAAGATGTTATCGAATGCACTGGCTGGATTTTCGTTAAATCTGCCGTATTACTGCTGAATGTGCTCTTTTTTTGCATCGGACCCATAGATCGTGTTACTTAATTATTATTCCCAAAACATAAACTGAAGGAGCTATTATGTGGTGCCTACGGAAATTGAACACATCAGGTCATGGCTTGTGCCGCAAGAGAGGAGTACACTTTAATGACAAGGATTCGTGTTTTGCTCTGTTCGTGACGTGTTGGTCCACCGCATCACTTCAATCAATCTCGATCGAATATTTATCAAGTAGATTCGATTGACAATTTAGCGCTGTCTCAAGGCCTGAATGAAATTCGGTAAGGGTAGGAACTCGGGTGACGTGAGAAATCTAGGCCTCTAGTAGGGCAGGGCCAGATCCATGAGTCCGAGGAAACCGTGTCCTGGTACGAAGTCTTGAAATAGAGGCACATTTTATTTCAACCACAATTGCTAGTATTTGCTGGCATCGCTATTGATTTTACATATTAAAATACGGGGCTAAAATATGACAAGTGAAGATCGGAAAATTGAGCACTACTAGAAGTCAGCGTTACGTGTTTCGGTTCAACTCGTATACATATGCGTCGATTGAAGCCTGGTCAAAAAGGACGAAGGAGATGTTATGTAAGTTAGTTTTCCGCTGTGCAAGGAAGGTCTTTATCGTACCAACTATCATCTCCGCAGCCACCGCTTTGGGGAAATTCGCTCTGAAGGGCAATAGACACGTAGAAATCTAGTAACTTTCTAATGGATATTAAATAGGAAATCGATTGCTCACAGGTATATTATAGAAAACAAATCTTAGCTGACAAATGGGAATTTGAAATCGTCTAAAGTCAGGTCGTGTTGGAAAGGCGAAGTCGTGCTTAAGGCGAAACACGGAATCTACTAAGTTTTTTTGCAGGCGCTTGATTAAACACTACTAAGCTTGAGTTCCTCTATTTGAACAAAAACGCCACGTTCGAATTACGTGAATCAACAAAGCATAAACACAAACTTAAAGGCTATAAGGCACTTTTGTATGTGTTATCCTACTTCATACACCAATTGATGGTACATTTGAAACAAGAAGTATGCTGAAGTTGTGTCGCGTGTGTTCTCTCTTACATAAACAATTACGAAGTGTGCTCATTGGGCGAACTAGCCCAGTAAAACAACAGGCACAGACGCAAATAATGCGGTAATTGTTAGAACCTGAGAAAACTGAAATGGAATTTTAAAATGGATCGATAGGGCAAAAAGCAACTCACTTTCCGCTACCAACGGAGGGGAACGCGATTGAGGTGAAACCGACTTGTTCAGCAATTTTGAGACAGTTCTGTATACACTGGCTAAGATCCGAAAGATTCTGTGATGTTTTATTTGGGTCCCAGACGGGACCATTTACGTGGATCACGTTCCTTGCTTTTGTACCAGTTCCTTTCGTCACAAAAGCTACATCAGGTAAGGTAAAGTAGATGGATTTAACTGGCGAATGAACACACGATATGGCAAACATGCAAGAGCATGAATTTGAACTGCCTACGGCGTATCAGCATGAATGACACTAAGAGATACGAAATAATAGCATGTTCCGTTGTTCCAGTTAACCGAATATAAGGAAGTGTCTGCGTTAGTAACAACTAGGGTTAAAATTCACGCAGATTTTCCTTGGATTTGATTTGTCTGGATCTGATGTGAATTAAAAGACCTTTAAAACTTAACACTCCTTAAAAAAACAATGCCGCCGACGGGATCATCGTGCAAATTTTTATACCAAGGCCAGATCGAATTATCGAGAAATCCAATAGTACATAGGCAGGTAGCCGTATTTACTGCTGAAGCTAATAAACTCATTGAGGGCTAGAATTTACTTCCCATAAATGTCCCAGCCAAACTAATAGATGTATTTAAGCGCCTTAGACCAAATGTGATGCAGCGTGTTACCTTTGGTGAAACTATTTTGGTCAAGAAAAGTGTGCAAAAGACTTCAGTGTTGGACTATTCAACGAGAGTTTACAGATTACACAAGTTATTGACAAATTAGATTTTGTTGTGTAAACTGGTACGAACTGATAACTTTGATTTTTTTTTAAAATTAGTCCTTAAAGGAACTTGAGGTGACATGATTGGTTCAAATCAAGGTGCACATTGTTTCATCAATTTCGGAATAATTGAAAAAAAGTTGCTGCCTGCATGAGCATCGGCACACTTGGTAATGTTCTACTTGACCGAACACTTTGGCAAGAGGCGCTGGTTTAAAAGCGGAACAATTTAAACTTTCCTAAACAAAAAGGTATTTAAATAATTGCGAAATAAAAGTAATTCAGGCTTAATGATTGAATAGGGGAGAGCGAAAATCCTTTAGGCCTGTTCGCAGCTTACAAACACCAACAAACTTGTAACAGTTGTAGTGAAAAAGAATATATTTTTGAGAGACGTAAGCAAAGCAGTACCATCAAGTTTTTGGAGATGCTGAATGTCACTCCTGGCGTCAGCGATGACTTTTGCGAATTTCGAGCCTCCGACGGCCATCAAGCGACTACCCACCATCCCACCCATGTAGAGTCTTTCATTGGTCGGGTTGATTACAGCATCGACGTTTAAATCAGCAATGTCGGTCTGCAGTATCTGTAGTACTTGCCCAAATGGCATTTTGATGCTATGCAGAACTTTTGCCTTAATTTGAAAGAAAAATAAGACAATGATATACACAAACGAAATGCAGCAAAAGTAGTCAACACTGGCGCTGACTGTTACCTTGACTTTGCAAAAACTGTTTCGTTGCGGTTTCTTCTTGGGAAGCAAAACGGGATGGATGAATGGGGAGGATCCACTAAACGGGATGGTTACTCCAGACAGTGTCTGAAATAAGAACCAACGAGCTACGAATAAACACACAACTACACAAACAACGGCTACTGGGGAATTTTTTTCGTATTTGAACCTCTTGCATCAGAGGTTACGTGAAGGGTAAATAGCACAATGCGCCCTTGGACAGGGGGCATATGAAACGTCCAAGCTGGACAACTTATGCATTTCGAATTTAACTTGAAAAGAATCGTTAAATGACAATTCAGATCACACAAAAGAAGCACTTATCACAATGGACACGAGCACTGATCCAAAGGTGACTCAGAATCTTACGTTTCATAAAAAAAGGTCTTGAGCAAGAATCTATGCTTTATGAGAAATGGCGGCATAAAACATAATCAAAATACATTTAAAAAAAGCAAATGCAAGATTTGATAAGTCACCAAGTAGCGTGAAGCAACCATAATGTGGTTCAGCCGCGGCAACTCCAACGAAACTACGTAAATGAGAATAATTTGACCAGTTTTTGCATTATTTTTTAGAAGAGTCATTCACGGATCTTTGCGCTTAAATGACGCTATTTTTAGTAATCCTGAACACAATATGACAGAAAGGTATTTGTGGACATGAGGCGTAGCATTTGCAATGTATTTAAATTCCCTACTTCTCAATTGACAGTTGGTTTTGTTTGACACCCAACGCAATGCAACTAGTCAGGTTCTCAAATACTGACAGAGGGTTGTACTTCGTCTAGAGGACATCTTTTATTGAACTTACATTATTCAGCTGAAGTAATAATTTATGGGTGTGGGCATGCATTTTAACTCAAGGTAGACTCCACAAAGTGATTGAGCATTGAACAAAGTCTCATCGTGATTGACGTGAATAATTACGAAAAAACAGTTTTGAAAACCTTTTCCAACCAACAATCAGTTAGTAGAAGGAGGCATACCTTTAAGAGCTCTTCGTCCGAGTGAGCAGCTAGCATAATAAATCGAGGCGAAATGGTTTTATACTTGGCTGTTTTTGTGACGCTTCCAGCTAAATCTATTAGTTCACCTACAAAAGAGAAGCCAATTTTAACACATTGATGAAGGTTATGCCTAAAGAATTCGTACATGGCTTCTTCCATCTGCAAAATGGCAGACGTATTTTCGTATAACTGAACGACAGAGCAAACCCTAACAGTGGAAAACGGCTACCACTTCAAAAGGCTCATGGACTAGGAAGGAAATATACTCAGCTGGAGACTTGGGCACTGTCCAACTATGAAATAACTTCTACCTTTCTTTGGATGCAATAAATTCAAGTAAACAATAAAACACGAACGCTACGATGATGTACCATCACAGGGCACGAATTAACAAAGTATATGGTAGAACAAGTATACATGTAAGTTATTAAGTCTAAATTGTGGTTCTTAAACAACGATCAGGCGTAACTGGTGAGGTATTCGAGGACAGCGGTCAGGTATACTGCGGAGATAAGAGAAACACGCGAAGCGCGGACAATGTTCGATGACTTCAGGAGGCGATGAACTCGAGCCACGGGAAAAAGTAGTCCACATCGTTTCGACTTGCTGACAATCAACTTTCCACCTGAACAAGGCAAAAGTACTCGCTTCTGGTATTGGAACGGACATGTTTAATGCTTTATGATATAACATTTAGTCCTTAAACAAAGCAAAAAACACTAGTTAAGATTCTTGAATTTTATCTGATTATAGCAGAAGAATGTTTAAGCCAAATATTATTATTGTAAGAGTGAGATAGGTGTGACTAAATGGCTTTCAGAACTAATACACTACTTTGCCCAAAACGTATACTTGCGGACAGTGTGATTAACGCAAGTATAAAGTATGGCAGAAGTGAACTAAAGCTGTAGAGACAATATAGTTTCAGTATTTCCGAGAAATCATTTGGATCATAGCGCACACAAGACTAACTAATTTTACAAACGCAAACAAAACTTCGGCATTTGATAAAATTACAATAAGATACCAGGCTCAATTATTACAATTTAAATAGAGTCACAAGAAAAGAAGGCTACTGGGAGCTTACGGCACAACTTCATGGGAGTTAGTTTATTTGATTAACACAGGATGGTCAAAAACGCTACATAAAAGTAGCTTAAAAAGATAAATAGCGAAAGCAAACGCATAAACACTTAAAACATTAATTCATACTTAGCTTAAATGAGGTCCAAAAGCTCAAGCATTGATTTGATTTTGAAAGCGCAGAAATGCGCATATTATGCATGACTTGTGGACATCACACATACAAAGGCCAACTTTACATGTCTACATCTTAATTGAATTCAGACAAAAGAAACTAATCCAGTGTACCATCCGAAGAGAGCTACACTCAATATTTATGCACTAGTATGTTCAATTAGATGCATTTTGAATGTGTAATGTTGACAAATGGTACGAAAATCAGAATTTGGACCACTTTCTACTACTCCTAGTTAAAATAGTTCCGTTATTATGAAGAGATAAGGCCCTCTGGTCAGTTGAGAGCCTCGTTTAAATACATAACACTAATTTTGAGAAATAACATCTTATGCACTTTATTAGAAATTCTAGTATATCCAATCAGATGCTTGACTGATAATAAAGGTTGTGACCAAATGTCTAGAATAAAACTATGGCACTCAATGGTCATTCATAAACATATGTCACAAGTAAAAATCAATCGTATATGGTCAAAATTCCAAATAAAATTCACTACTAAGGTTTGCCATATTGAACGTCATTTTTTCGTCTTGTAACTTTGACTGCAAACTTATGAAATTCTATAGCACGAATTCATTAGGACAGGCAACGTGAACATGCACATGAAATTTCGAAAGAGGTCATGAAAACAAACATGATCAAAATGGAAAATACGGTCAACTTCCATATTCAACTTCCGCGCACCTCTAGCGGGGGTCATCCTCTATTGGTTAGCATTCGGCAACCTAATTTATGAAGGATAATGACCTAGCAGCCAAGTCTTTCATTGGCCAAATCTGTAATATTGACATTAGTATTACGTCAAAAATTGCGTTAATTTCTTTAATTAAATTGATCCACTAAACCTTGTATGCAAAATGTATACTAAAGAGAATTATGTAAAGTGTTACGATCTAACGTTTGTGACTTCATTAAAATAAATTTAAAGGTAAAATGAATATTAGACAAATCAAGTATCACCAAAATTAACTAGCATCTTACAATAATTAGTGGGTATTTAAAATTCTGCCATCTAATAAAACACATAACATGTTCGTTTACACTTATTAGGTTTTAAAAGTGGGGTATGCAATTTTACGAATTATAAGGGTTTTTTGTCGACCACGGAATACAGGAAACATGGAAAATATTTAACTTCCCACATGCATAAAATTAAGTACAAAGTCTTGGTGAATCCAGTGCATTTACTGTTTCTGATAAACGTGTATAAATTCAGGAAACTGGAAGTTACCTGCTACAACTCGATTTTGATTTCACGACCATTAAATGTAGTCGGATATGTAAATGTTCGTCAGAAAAATATATATATAAGAAAGATAATTTAGATAAAAAGACAAATTTAAGAGCTAGTTCTTTTAACGCAAACCACTTTATCTTTGAATGAAACAATTTTTTATGGGAGCGATTATATTTTCTAAATTCAAATATAGCTTCGGCCTCAAGTTTACACCAATCTCATCTCTTTTTTGATCTTGAGACCAATATCCACGGCATTCAATATTTACATCTTTGACTATACTAGGAGGCGTGACACGGTTGCTTAAAATTACGGCATACTTTAAAGCAATGGGCCAGGTTAGTTTCATATATATTTTTCTTAGAAGACAAACTGTTTTACAGTTAAACGATTTTTTCATTTTTCATACACGCAGCGCAAGTAAAGTCAAAAGAAATTGGGTTTCCCCAAAACCCATTACTAATTTTAAATTGTTGAAAATTATCACTCACACCCATTATGGAGTTATTTGCAAGGGCTTTATGAATCAGAAAAGTAAAATCAAGGTGAAGCCTATATCCAATCAGATTTTTTATATGCATTAGGTTGAAATTTACTTTTACATAATCACTCATAGATCGATGTTATATTTAAATGCCAGACACTGGATGCTATTGTACCAAAAGATCCTTTGGCCGATAAGAATATGCAGATTCCTAAATCACATGGTTTTGCAACTGTAAATTCATCAAATTTAAATGAAGTATTCGGGGAAATATGTCATAGATTAATCCGCCAGTAACATAGTTGCGATGTAAAATTCAATATAATCATTAAATTTTATGCGCATTTCGTCTAAGAATCGGACACGAATTTTGCCATGATGTAGACATTTTGATAAACTGAAAAAAATTATCAAAAGGTTACAGGACACCATCAATAAATTGCAAATGTCATTTCAGGTGCATATTTGTCACAGTACCTATTATAAAGATTTTCGATAGTTTTCATCCTATCTTCAAGATCTATAAAAAAGCATTTGCTGGAAATAAATCGAGCATTTTATGGGACTACTTTCTGCTTATTTGCTGTCTAAATTCAAACTATAAATTTTTATATAAGCTTTTTTGTTTAGGGTGATGCATACACGTTGTTGAATGCCTTAACCTGTCATAATGTTTTGGATTTCAACATTCCAATAGAGATATGTTGCTTCTAATCACTGACCTCCATTCGCGTAGTCAAAACTATATTGTCATGCCACATCGCTTTTTACACTAACAACTCCCCACTAGATGAAACTTACTCCATTCATGGAACACAGATAGCCTTGGCATTTTCTTGCTGTACATCTGAACAAACCTTTGACTTCAGTATTTGTCAAGACAGTAAACCTATCTGTCCGAGATCTTGTCATTTTCTGTTCTGGATATCTTTGGGCACGTTTAATAAGGGTTAAGTATTTGCGCTTAATAATTGGTTTTTGCAAAGCGGGTAAATTCTGACAACTGCTTGATGTCACATTATGGTCGCAGGACGTAATTTTTTTTGAAAATGTTTGCTTACACAACGTTCGTGGGCAAGTGAGCTATGTTCCGACTTATCTTAGTTTGCCAGTTGTAAAGCACTAACGATGCAACCAATTAGATATCCATATGCGTAGTAGACAGCTAATTAAAGAAAAAACTTGTTTTTAAACAAAATAATAAGCAATCACATTTGAGACGCTTATAAATTTCAAATTGTAAACTGATGCTACCAGTTCAAGACAACAAGGATTAGTAAATTCGACAAGACTGATCAAACATAATGGCTATGTACTTTCAACTAACTAGCTAATAAAAGCTAAGTGGTACGAGAGTTGCTAATAGTATGTTGCAAAAAGTACAGATTTTAAACCTTTATTGTTTTTGATTGTTTTAATGTGGTTTAAATTTTGCTCGTCAATTAAGTTCATTGCAGATCGTTAACCTGGCAATGTCGAGTGGTAGTCCTATTGATGGCATATATGAAGCTCATGCGCTTCATCCAGTTGATACTAGTAGAGCTAAAGATGGTGTTTGGCTCGTTAAAGTTCCTAATTATTTGGCAGACCTGTGGCTTAAACCCAATACTGACAGAGTCGTTGGTAAAGTTGTGATTTCAACTGCTGCCAGTACCTCCGTGGATAAAGACCAAAAGCAAAAGTCAGATGTCCGTCTTGTCACAGATGATAGTTTGATAGGGGAAGCTGGAGAAAGTGGCAAACTAATTCCAAAAGTACGTTTGTGTGCATCACGAAGCTACATGTACTTTACATATTTATCGTCCTTGAAGTATTGCCGTTCTTATTCAAGAAAATATCTGACTTACCAAATGCTACACTGTAAATAAGTAGGCACGTCTTGGATATTGTACCGCTGAGGTCTTATATTTGCTTTAATACTGTTTTTGTTTGTGAATTCCGATCAGACGTGTGGGTTTAAAATTGTTTTCAATCTCAATAATTACAGTTAACTTCAAACTTGTTCTGTAGGAGCATCAATTCTTAATACAAACGGCATCATCGGCCTCTACAGCAGCTAATAAAAGTCGCCCTGGTTCTTCGCGTGGCTCTTCAGCCATGGTGGGTCAAGAACTTGTTATTCTCTGTGAAGAGGATTGTCAGGTACCATCGTCTTCAATTGAAGCGTTGTCGTCTCCCACGCAAGGGGTTCCGCGTTCTCGAGCCGGCAAGCGATATTCATTATTTGGTCGGGTTAACAGTCGGGCCGAATGCCAGCCTCCTCCCAACGCAAGTTACATGAAACTTAAAGCCCAGCAGGTGAGTTAAACCAACTACCGTTTTTTTATTTTAGCTAAAATGTATTCACAAGGTTTATTTGTTCTTGAATGTTTCAGTGTTTATGAGCTTTTTTTCCAATAAACTCAATGTATACTCAGGTCGCAATTCCCGTTAAGGTGACATTGTCTGGTAATGAATGTGCCTTTGTAGGTTTGCTATATAGCAGCAACACAAGGTAAAAACCTCATTCCTTAAGTTAAACGGCGTCATTATTTCAAACGTTAAGGTTCTCGTTTTCGCACATTGCTGACCACACCCATTTAATAAGTCAACATTTTGGAAGGAAACACCGGATAGGTTTAGTCTTGTTTATTTTTTAAAATAATCACAAGGAACCCATACTAAAAATGTAACAAATAGCATTTATTTATAAGCCGCAACTTTTGCAAATGCCCATATCAACCCCGTTTTCTTGAACATTTGTTATTAAGTTTTAATTCTCTTTGTGCACCTGAGAGGACCCTACTTTTATTGTTAGCACCCTAAATACATTTTTCCGAGTTTCTTACGACTTTTAAATAAGATGGCTTGGGTTTAATTGTAGTCTTTATTTATCCCATTATTTGTTCTCAAGTCGACACATAAAAATAGATTTAACCCATAACTTGCAACATTCCCCAAACCTTGTCTGAAACCTTGTTATGGAGACGACACTACAAACATCTCTTTTTAGCTGAAGGCCAAAAATCGCGCAAGGCACGAAGTTTGTGTTCTTGATAAACCCGTGCAAACTCACCTACCCGTTGCTAATCATGCAGTGAACGTAAGTCACGATAATTTTTCCTCTTAACATTAAGTAGTGGTACTACTTTATTTGTATATTGGTTTGTACTTCTGCCATCAACCGCATTTTTGGAAGCATCTTAAGCCAGTTAAAGGCTGTTTATAGACCTAGTTGCCTACATGACACTTCTAGAAACTGCCTATTTTGCACATGGTTTTCTTGCCTTAAAAATATCTTGCTTCATTGGGACACTTTTCGATTTCCTAATGAAGAGACACTACAACACCGAAAGTTCGATTTAATTGTGCACGCTTTTCAGTTTGTGATACATGCTTATAGTTAGAATATGAGGCACGGAAGAAGCGTGAAGGGAAGAATCTCCGTCGTGAACGCGAAGACGTTCTTCGAGACCTGTTCAAGGCTTTTGAAAAACACCAGTACTATGCATTTAAAGATCTTCTTCTCTTGACTAAACAACCAGTTGTAAGTTTGCTGCTTATCCTCTGCTAGATTGAATAACGATCACATGAAACCTCTCCTTATTCTGATGTCCTCCTGGTTGTAGACATACCTAACGGAATTACTAAAAGAAATAGCTGTTTTCAACTCGAGGCCTCCACACCAAAACATGTGGGAATTAAAGCCCGAATATCGTCATTACGCGCCTCCAGATGGATCCAAGACATCGGAATAAGAATATTGTGACAAGTAACTTATTTTTTATACATGACTGTAAATACGTTTTCAATAGCCACTATGAGAAAAAAACGCGCTTTACACACGTTTTTGACTTGGGTTGCGCTAGTTTAACGGTATTGCATAATGTAAAATAGTCATTAGGACACATTTGTGATTGGACCAGCGTAGCAGCTGGTGGTGGTATAAAGCTAAACCGTAGGTTTGTGACAAACTATCCTATAAAACCACGTTTCAGTTTGATTAGCCTGTTGTGACTTGTTAAAAATAAATAGGTACCAGTTTTTATAAAGTAGGCAACAAGACGTCCATTACCTTAATATATACTTGTAAGCTTAAAACTATCACAAATATCGTGCGGTCCGTGTTCCTAGGTTTTAAGTATGCGGAAAAAGAAGTCAATCTAAAACAAAAAGAAAACACGCAAATAAATTTCGCACGTACAAAATGATAACCTTGAGGATAATAAAAGCAAAGTTTCGGTGACGTTGAGGTATAAATTAATCAGCACTGCCTGCAGGTTATTATCGTATTTTGAAGCCCGACCTTTATTAAAAACGTTGAATAGGCTGTCATATTAGGAGAAATTTCTGAAATACACGATGGCCATGATGTAGTCGTGTCTTAATTATTATTATCACGAATTAAAAATACATAAAACAAAACCTTATAGCTCAATTTTACAATGGACGTCCAATATGTAAACCATTATTTGCTGTAAAACATCGCTTACTGGTAATAACATTTAATTGCATCTATGTGTGATTTTTAAGATTAAATAGAAATCGGCCATATCTTAGCCAACCTCTGCGTATTAAACTAGCAATCAGCAATTAACAAAGCAAGGCTTTTCATTTCAAGTAAAGGAATACTCTGTTGTAAAATACCTCCATTGGAACGTCATCCGGCAGATCTGTACAGTGGATTGCGTTTTTAACTAGATTTACTCCAAACTTTGCGCGAATTGTATTTGGCTTCAGGTATCTAGCTATATCCTATATAAAAGTAAAGTAATTTGATTAAAAAATGAAAGGCCCATTTTAAGATATTGGCACCCGGTGCTAAAAACTGGTGCCATTCTGTCTATTTCATTTTAATTAATCCGCTCACAAATTTACCTCATACGTATTCTTGTAGGTCAGTTGTAACAATGTAATTCACAGACGTCTCTTAAATGTATTCTGATCAAACAGCTTGTCATATTTGTTATGAATCTCTTTGTTATTCAAAAATTAAACTGTTATGTACATTAAGGGAAATGATTTCAACTTATACTTCTCAATTACTTCTTATACTCTACGGATTAAATGTAGAGGATGAATCACTCACTAGGTAAAAGCTTAATGATTATTTGTTTAATAGATCAATGGGAGTGTAAATGCAATAAATTGGAGTCATTTTTGCGGACCAAAAATGTGAATCGAAGGTAACACCAATGCAATAGTTAAGTGACGGATATATGAAAAAGCACAAACCGGGTCCATAGGTCCTACAATTTCACGAAAACGCAGCTGCACAGAGGTCGATTCCCCAGATTGGCGCACTTTATCTTGATCGGAGTCTACTTGTGCTATCTGTAAAGCAACGCAAGGCCCCGAAGTCATTTCGTTAATCAGCTCGGGGTATTCAGCAAGAACACCTTTATAAACCTCTAAGAATTCGGATGCATCGACTTTAGACAGTCGATAAACTTGCGCCCCGACAACGCAGAAACCGTTTGATTGGATAGTTTCCCAAATGGCACCAAGTTGACCTAGAACAAAAATATGGCCAGCAAAATAAACCGGTTAGTGTGTGACATCTTGCGTGCACCGCCACCAGACAAATTTCATGATTGCACAAATAAGGCTTGCATAATTTTAAAAGCGAAACAGGTTCATTTGGTTTGTCCATTTATGAACAACATGCAAACGCACTTTTCGCTCCTGACTTTGTTGCGTAATTTTAAGAAGGACCTAGTCAAAAAACAAAAAAGACGAAGAACTAGGGTACTTACCACTGCGTACGGCGTGTGGTTTGACAACCGCACATGTAGAATCTTGGATATTTGTCGTGTTGCGATTTTTCTGGTTTAAAGTAGTTGAAAACAACAAGTGAGCCTGTACAGCTGCTGCTTCAGGTGTCTGAGCCAGCACGAAAACGTCGGTATTAGCAAAGAGGTCATAATTGTCGACGGACTTGCCATATATCATTTCCTTAAGCACACTGTTTGCGTTACGGCGCATTAACTCAACAGCTATCGTTCCGCCGTCCGTAAGAATGCTGGCCAGCTTGCTACAATTTTAAACAACGTAATTATCTGTCCATAAATTATCCAAAGAGCACTCACTAAAAGAAGCAATGCACATTTGACTTACTCTAGATACTTGCACTCCAATGAATTAGAGAAATATGTGCGTACATCCGTACTATCAAGGTATAAGAGTTTAAGGTTGACAATTTTAAACCCATTGTCCTCAAACTGCCCAATATATTTCCCAGCGCTGCATGTCCCCAATGGTGAAATAATGCAAACACACCTAAATATTTCATTAAGTTGCAACAGTTCTTTACCTTTCTGAATTACCGGAGAGTGCATTTGAAGTAAACTCATCGGCAAATTGAACGATACGTAAATGTCGAGATAAGATATTAACAGAACTGCCAATGTACAAATCTGAAACCTTAAGATCAGCCTGTTTTAACTTTCGCAGAAAAAGTCTATGGTGCTTCAAGTCATACTAAAGAATAATGCCTCATAAAAGTAAAAACAGTTACCATTTCAACAGAATTATCGTCTGGGTAGAAATTGAGCTTAAACTGCTCAATTAGACCAGATTCATCTTTATACCACTCAACAATAAATGAATACACCACAGATTCGCACTAGGACTAGATCTATATCATTGTTACGTACCATTATTTAGGTAAAAAATCTACGCGGCGCTTCTGGTACACGGAATTTTGGAAGCTAATTGAGCAATATAAACAAGGCGGCGTCAGAACTCTAATGTGAAACATAGTCATAAAATATAATTTTTATCGATCGAAAGCCTATTAGATATATTATTAGTTTAAAAGTTTTCTAATTCCTCAAATTGAACGATTGAAGTAGCTTAATTTAGGCATTAGTGAAAAACATCCTATGTAGGTCACCGAATTCGACGTAATCAGTCATAAGCTGCTTGTCAAAAGTGTTTAGGATCGTCTTCGTAATTTAACAAGGGCATGTGAAGTCGTATTTTAAGCAAAGTAAAACCATTAAATATTATTCCTGTGTATGTTTCTTTTTTTGTATAAACACCCAATCATAAATTAAGAAAAGTAAAAAATTATTGGCTAGAGTTATAATTGTGAACAAATGTCTGCTAACCAGCCACCTTAAAAAACCGTCGTCTGATGACTATGAATTCTAATTCCAAATATCTAGATTATTTTGTCTAGCACTCTTTTCGTACTAAGGCCTGGTTAAAAAGTCCATAGTTGTACAGCCTTTGTTTCAGCTACATTTTGTGTTTTCAAGCCATTTTTGTTCATTTTTTGATTTGTCACTTTTAGAAATGCATGGTAAAAGGTAACATTTTGGTCATTATGAGTTTTCAAACCTAGTTAATCCGAATGTGCACCGTGATTCAAAAATCATTATTTAATTTCAGCAGCAGAAAATTCAAAACCTCTTAAATCAGAAATACCATTGTTTATATCAATCTCTTACCATAGTGCTTCCGAAATAAAGAAATTAAGCTTACGATGGCCTCAGAATTTTTTGTGATATGGCTAAGAAAGCTTAATTTTAATTTATCAGTTATTTTGATTAACATCGTATTTTACTGCAAGTACACGTTGAGGATTTGAACTTGACACAGTTTTTTTTTTGAAACATTCGATCCACGCACGCCGGTCTGACCTGTTCTTTGTCCCCATCTTCCCTACCTCATTTTCGTATTTCTCATGGCGCGCCCGTGAGACTGAGGGCAATTCCAATCCTCCTTACGGCCAACCCTTTCTTTCTCTAGCTCTAACTCTCCCTAAGCCCTGGCCCTTTGAATTTGTATGCGCAGTCTGGAATGCATCCGGTTCTTCCTGTTATTCTCCTATCGCATATCTGGAAGCTAACCCTGATGGTGTGGCTATCTAAGAGGAGCGGGCTAACAATTATCTACCTATTTAGGTCCCTGCTTTTTAAGCGCGTGACAAGACATAAGTGATCTTACTTATTTAGATCCAGGTTCGTGAGTAAATTTTAGCATTACTTGTCTCCAATAGTCTCCAATATAATGCTTCGTTAAGCGCCACTTATATAAATCGATTTCAGATTCTAAACATTTTTGAAGGGTCAGAAAAAACAACAAATTAGACAACGTCCTATTAAAAGAGAAATCGTTTAGTTTATTTTATGGCAAACAAAATTGTATAAATCTAACTATGCTTACATGTACATGCCAGCTAAGTCTCATTCTTTACATAATAGGTCAAAATGACCTTGTGTTCGGGGATAGTGTTGAAGACTTCGAACAACTTTCATCTGCATCTTCAAACACTTCCTGAAAATGATCCGGTGTGATATTCGCACAATTGATGCAAATAGAGAGCTTAAGTATTTTGTTTTTTTTGGAAAGTCTTATTCTTTACTGGATGGCTTCAGCTCAAATGAATTCATCTTAGTTTTTATTCATCTGCCGGTGTCGATGTGACACATTTTACTTTGGATGAGTCAAGCTCTCTTCCGTCATAAATCTCTTAGATGAAATAAAACAGGAATAACCACGTGGCAGTTTTTAATACCTTAGCTGTCGTACAATGCCAAAACATATCTTGGACAAAAATATGTGATTCATTTCGTTTAAGTTTTTTCCTTTAGCTTAAAGGTGAAGGACGTACACAATTTGAATTTTTTTTTGTTTAGACACGTCGGTCCACTTGTAAAACTCGAACTCATCTCTTGTTAATTATTTCAAACCAGGGACATCAATGTATATTATTAAAGAACCTATTTTAGAGGATCTGCTATTAACAATTTGACTTTTATATTTCCTTTCTAACATAAACCCGACCGTTCAACTCGTATTTTGCCGTTTTCATAACATAAGAAGTAGTCTATTCACAGCAATCGTTTTCAGCCTACTTTGAATTAATATCAGGGTGATTACTGAATAGAGCGACAGTAAAATGTCAAATGACTTGTATTTTAAAAACATTTAAACACTTAAAACACTTTCTTATTTATTCGACAAACAAAGGGAGTTTTGATTTAAGTTAAAAAGATAGCAACAAAAAGTTGTGCACACTATAGCAAACTTGAAAATGTTTCTGCAAATATTTTACACTTTTAAATTAGGTCGGCCTAAATGGGCTGCAGAACATCAACAAGTTGTAAAATTATCTAGTTTTTGTTCGATGGCTCTTTTAGGCTACTGCTAATTCCGTCCAAGTATCTACGACGTCTGTTGCAATAAAACATTATGACAGTAAGACAAAAAGTAGAAATTTTTCCCGATTTAAAGAGCGGCGTGTGTTTGAACTCCTTATGTAAGTTTACAGCTGTTATGGACATCGATGACCATTCCATATTTTCATAATCAGTCACCGAGTTGTCCCCATTCGAGGGTTCGTAAATCGAATTGCGCTAGCTAAACTTTAACGTAATTAAATCCCGATTTGTAAGTTACATGTCAGACTAAGCAACAAACTACAACATTCTTTAGGAGTAAGAAGGATAAAATGCAAAATATTTACGTCACTTTTTTAATAATACATATAAGCAGATAGGTAATAAAAATATTTCCTGCTCGCACCAAAGTTTTATTTTATTTGCAGGCTGTTCTATGCTACAAAGATGCATTATTCGTTTCAACGTGGCCCTAACTAAAATCCTATCTCCGACACACAGTAAGCGTGTAAATATGGTTTTGCAGACTCCTTGCAAGATTCTTTTACAAAGCGGAATAAAATTCTACGTATTTAATGTTTATTTCATTTTGGCACATTAAAAAATGCTTCAGACCTTCATCTAGTCAAACTTTTTAATAAGTTGTTGGATGAACAGAGAATTTTAAATAAAATATTGTTGAAAAATTGTAATAAACTAGAAGCATGAACAGCGAATTAAATGTTAGGAAAGCTTGAACTTGATTGGCTCTTTGGACGATTGCAGGAATTTACATTGGCTGAAATACTGCGGTTGTATGCAGCACAAGCGCAAACCTTAAGTCACCAGCATCTCAAAAATACATTTCTTGGTTTTTGATTAAGGGGTGAGAGCTTATCTTTATTTGATTTCGGATTATTGCCATTTCACCCTTTATTTAATCTTTCAAACAGCTTAAATCTGATTTTTCGCAAAGGACATAAAATCGATCAAAATATATGAACCCAACAACAAATTTAAACAAAATAAAACGGATTAAAATGGCAAGCAGCCCAGAAAACAACTTTGAAGTTTCAATTGCCATTAAGTGTTAGTAGAAGATCACCTTCTGAATTGTCCTACATTCATGACGGTTTAGCAAGATTTTTTTTGAATTTAAAATTTGCTTGCTTTTTTTCAAAAAAATGCGTTAAATAGTGCACTGACGCATTAAAAAACAGCGTCCATCGTTATTCTATGCAGAGAGCTGTTTCAAAAGGCAATGAATATGTTGAAATCAAGTCATTTTGTGAATTTCTGTTTAGCACAATGCAAACTTGTCCAGTTTACATGCAGCTTGCCAAAATACTCTTTATCCGTTTGCCTTATTGACTTTAAAATCCACTCATTTAAATCTTGAGTTGCTGAAATCAGTTTCGACTCTGCTCAGGCACAGCTTCAAGTAATTCGTCACAAGAGTTTGCATGTCACTAACGCGGTTCCTCGTTCTGCCTCATTTATGATTGCCTCAACAGCCGAAACAAAATTTCAAGTTTGAAAGAATAATGAACACTTGCAGCATAACTGGCAAACTTGAGCAAATGAGGTGATACAGAATGCCTTGGATGCTAAAGTTATTTGAAATATTACAGGTAAAAGCTAGCTTGAAAAAACACAAGTTGTTGCCTTCCTGTGGAACAATAATAAGTGCGTGGTGTTGCAAAAACAGCTGCCGACAAGGTATTAGCACTTTGTCGAAGTATTGGCGATAAAGAGTGTTGATGGATTTAACAACTCTTAATGGCAAATACATGACAAAGGCTCAAAACTGGGCACCTGTGTTATCGTTAAAAGAAACTACAAAAGGAGAAACTCTCATTGTCCATCCTGCCAACTTGGTTGTCAAAATTTTGACCACTTATAGGGGGATTTCAGCCAAAAGCGTATAGCAACCGTGCATTGATTATTCCAATTTCCATCTTGTCGAATTTTTACGCATTCTACCAAAACTTGATTTTTTGCTAATTATTTTTTTTTGTTTTAGACTGACACAATCATGGTTCCAAGTCAGGCAATACGGCGCCTACTTATTGTCGAAGTGGTTTTCCTTTTGAGAAGTGGGTTGTCTTCAAAGATACCTACTAGGCTTGGCAATGCAGGTATTTGTTTGGTCTGCACTTAAATGAATACATCTTCATTAACATACAGCTTTCTCAATGTCACCCTAAAAATGTTCTTTATTTGCTATTTTTAGAGAGATTGACTGCACGATCTAATTATATGCAATTTAAATTAAGCAAATCACATATGCCAGCATAATTATCTTTCTGAAAACACCTTTTGAAATCAGCCCCACTAAAAAGCATGTATAGCTTTTAATAACCAATGAAGTAATTCAGAAATGGATATTTATAGTCATTCACGACAAAATCATATTTAAAAATATGTGGACAATCTTAAGTCGTGTGCATAATGTGTATCAAAATGACAAATAACTGATTATGGGTTCGTACATTCATTTGACTTGCTGGGATATAGGATCTTCTATTTCAAATCGACTATATGCCAATTTAATCTCATTGGGTGATGGCACCTATCTAGACCACTCACGTTTGTTTTAATAAGAAGACGGTAAAATCTATAATACACTGTAATATCGTCAACAATGGTAGATTTAATTCAAAGCAATGACAAACTGAAAAGTGAACAAACCACTTTCAATGCGCCGAGTTGAGGTGTGCGTGCCTAATAAAATAATATTCTGACTCTTCATTTCGGCCAAGCAAAAATGAGGAGTATTTGGATGTAAAGATTGCCGAATCTGTCCACCTATCTGTCTGTAACAAAGAGTAGGGTTCGTTCAGCCCCACATAACCAGTCCTGTGTATTCAGTCACACTTCATCCAGCGATGCGGGAAAGCAAGTTGAGACATTATCGTTCATTAGGCCTGGCTTTCCGCTGTCAAAGAACTATTTGTAATACGATTGTCGCACAGGATTTGAATAATTTTTTTAATTTGATGTTTTTTATCGCAAAAATGGCAAGAAAACTTGCATATTAAGAAGCACTTTACTAAATCATGAACAAAAACCGATTCAAGGTTACCTGGAAGTAAAAGACACAAAATTCTGTTGATTTAAGTTCGTAGATAGAATTGACAAACCTTATGCTGTCGTATGCCAGCATTGGAAATGTGTACTTTGCTAACATTTAACGACTGGCATGAAGTTCTTTTGTGTCGTAAGTTGAAATTTTGATTCTGCATCTATCAGTGAACGATCGCACGACTGCAGATGAAACTAAAATTCTGTCAAATTCTTTCATTCTGGTACACTTATTGTCTCAATTCAAACAAAATGAAATCAAATACTTGTGAATGTTCTTGCTTAATATTACGTTTATACGTTAAATGAACCAATTTAAAGAAAATAATTCGCCAAATTTATCCGCATTGAATCCAGTGTCTCATTTCTTAAGTGACATTTCAAAAAGCAATCCATAACTGGTGCGAAATACACTAAAATATTAAAACCGGAGTTCTGAAAACTGGAGCATACCCGTATTGATTAAAAAGCACACACACACACACACACGATCTGAGTATCAAAAACGAAGAAATGTATGTTTCAGAATTCCAACAATTTTAATATTTTTTATTTTTAACCATACTGGTGACAAAAAATGAAGGAGTTAGAAATTGTGGTCATTTAATATAACTTGCACACTTTTGCCATGATGTTTTTAAGAAAAACCGACTTAAAGTAGATTTAAAATTATCCAAATGAAAAGTAAGATACTGTATGGCCATTGATTTTCTGATTTTCTTGATGCAGACTCCAATAGGACGATAGCCAATGACTGTCCAGAGAGTTCTCCTTGGCCATGCCGATCACCCAATTTTTGTCTTTCATTTGATTTTATTTGTGATGGAGACCTCGACTGTCCTGATGGATACGATGAAGATCAAGAGATGTGTACAGCAAGTATGTTTCGCCGTGAACTTTACAAAATAGTTGATTTTTTAACAAATAGTCATTTCTGGCAGACATTCCTTCCGTTATATTTTCGTGTAGATTTACAATCTTGGAAAAAGATATTCTTCGCAACTGTGTTAAACTGGAGTTGTTAGTGGTTGGTATGACCCTGATGACCCTATTGTAGGGGCTTAGAATTTGCCTTAAATGGCTATTTCGACTTCCTCATTCCATAATTTCAAGTGTACGCATGCCAGATAAATGCATCTCTGGCAGTCTCCTGCCCCAGATTTCGCAATTTAAAATGAGGCATCAGAAAGATATCGTCAGAATCTGTTCTGGATTTATTGTTAGTTTTATTTCATTAAGCAAACGTTAACTATAAGATCTAATCGCACTTTGAAGATGAAAAGTTTCCCGGTAAACGGATATGCAAATTGGAAATATTATCCTACCTCATTAATCTGGTTTCATTTTCACTCAATGACAATAATTCTAAGTAAAAGTACTCAAATAATTCAAATCTACTTGGACCACGTTTTAATTTTTACTTTCTGTAAACAGAGCAACAGTTTAAGTAATTCGACTACAAATAGCTTTTGAAGATGTTTATCCGGAAAGACGCTGTACAACTCATATGGGCCGCCATTAGCCTTTGTTGAACAGTTTTGGTGAACTTGCGAAATTTTCACCATCTCAGAGGTCGTAAATGTCTACTGAAAAGTAAATTAGGCCTCAAGTTAAATTATCCTATTACTGGCTGAGTGGGCTTAGAAAGGTAGAACAATTAATTGACTGAAATCATGTAAGTTGCTGATTTTGTGTTTGATCAAAGTATTTTTTTTAAACAGTGATAAAAAGTATTCCGAATTTTAAAAGTAATGCATTAGTGGACTGAGAATAACCATTTAAATTCTGTGAAACACGATGCATCTAATTTACTTTAATAACGTATCATTTCTTCATTTTTACACACGGAGCAAAAACTGTCAAACAAATCGTATTTTACAAAGCATTGACAAGCCCTCAATCAACATTTAATCAAGTTACAGAGATTTCCTTAGTCCCTGGTAGCTACCTTCAACCACAAAAGGTAGTGACCTCTAATTTGACCTTTACATTTTACTTTGGAAAGAAAATGCCACAAAAGAGATTGAAAATTCTTGATATTTGAACAATAACGTATAGTTGCTTGTTGACTTTAATTGTGAATTTTTGCGATAGCCTCAAGCAATCAAATGTAAGCATAGTTTCAAAATTTCGCCTCGAAAAAGAAAAACTAAAGGGTGTCTTTTATCATTTTTCTTTTGGGTGTGTTTTTTTCAACATTTAAAATGTCGAAAGCGCCATTACCGACCTATGAATGCGATCACTTTACTAAAGGACAATGCTTATTAATAGAGTTTATACGTTTGGGAGTAAAGGAAATTCAAATGATAGATTTCGAAGCAAATTCACAAGTCTTGAGGGCCCAAGGACTTCTGAGAAACCTAATGCTAGCAAATTCGGACATCAGAAAGCGTTAATATTCAAGGCGATCTTGGCACGACACTAATCTCTTGTTTGCAACAACATGCGAAAAAAGTTAAAACAAAGAAAATAAGTAAAATCTCTCTAAATCACTTTTCGCACTTGTAAATTTAAATTTAAAACTAATCATCCATTTTTAAGGATTTGTGCGCTAACGTATTTGGAATTTTGAATTTCGTTTTAGCCTGTCATCCTCTATTTAACTTATTTATCACCAAATGCCGATAATTTCACAACTTAATAGTTTATGACCAGAGCGTCCATTCAAATTAGGCCAGAAATTCTAGTTAGCGTAATATTTAATATTTATTTAAACCAATGTTTGGGACTTTCGCAACAAAGACGCTGTCGTCGCACTGTTCTTGACCATTAGTATGACTCCTTCAATTAGTTTGATTGAGAAATGGTTGTGAATAAAGGTAGACCCATGGCGTAAACAATCGCTTGCCAAAAAACACAAAAGCTTGAGTCAAACCTCACGGGAACATTTGTTTTTTGTTCAATTTGCAGAACAAAGGCCTCCTATTGAATACCTGTATCGTTTTATCAAGCGTTACCAAGACTGGCTGATACCGGAGTTTCTGGGCGAGGGAGAACCGTTTGATCTGGCCACAAAACTCGTTGGTGAGATATTTTATGTGTTAAAAACCGTGGATTGCACTTTTCTAGCTATGAAATCCAGTCCTATTTGTCACTTTTAGCAGTCGATATGACTTTCAATCTCAGGATCACAACCGTAGAAAGGCCTCTTAACCAAAAGCCGCAAAGTAAATAGTTGATAGCCTTTGGATCTACGAAGAGCATAACTGACGTACAGATATCATACCATGGCACCGATACAATACCAACTCATTCAATGAACTAGAGCCAATGTGTTCTAATCACGTTAATGACATTAATGACTTTGTAAGTTTGTCAATTGATGTAGACTGATGCGAGCACATTTAAGTCTCAATCCAACTTAACTTTTGCATTCAGTTCTCTGTCAGAGGCTCAACCTGTTAAATTTAAGGTTGTGCATTGCGAAGATTTTAAAAATTCAGAATTTATTATATGGATTTAAGGAAACAGTCTAAATGCTGTTAAATGGTTGTATCAAAGGCGTAAAAAATTCACCAGAAAGAAATCACTTTCCTGACTACGAGACTTCGTTAGTACTGCAAGCAGAGTTATGTAAGCGTCGATGATTCTTCTTTTTTATGTTAAAACAGTTTAAGTTCCTTTCGACAATAGGCGTTTTCAAAAAGCTTGCAGAAACCACTAAATCTTTACCTTTTATCATCGTTACCCACGCAATTTTGTTCTAAAACGACCGTGTTCACGTCACACACTTTGTGGTCAAAATATAAACGAAGAGCTTATTTCCACTGGTCAAAAAGTGCAGTTTGCACTTTAAATTTGGTCGCTGATTTACAGAGCTTGGTTTGCCCTTAATTTTTATTGCATTGGCTTCGGTTCTCATCTTAAACTCGTCATACACGCTGGATAATCACCTTTTCAACCAATCATTGAGTGATCTCCTTGGTGCATAATTTTGAGAATTACTCTGGAATATCGTCCCATCAATGCAACCAAAATTGCTCCCAAGGTCATCTTCTGAATTGCTGCCTGGCTGGCCGAAAAAGTTTCCACCATGAAACGTCGAGGTTAATTCCGCATTTGGACGGTGTCCTCCTAAGTCCCTATGCATTCTTATATTGTCTTCTAAAGAGAAGCGACCTTCACAATTATTGATCGGTCTGACCCAATGACCTCCTCCCTCCCATGCAAAAACCCGAAACCTTTTTGCCCTCTTTAGCATTTAAAAAAATTAGGTAGGTGTGTTTTACTTTATATCAGCGATTTTCTTTTTATCATAAGCTTCGATAGCTGACAGAAAGTTGGCAAATTGGTTCCTAACTTCACCATTTTTAGAAAACCAAGCCCAGAGTCAGCATTATAAACCAATGATAACATGGTTTACCTTAGTTTTCCACAATGTGTTGGGCGTTACCCAACTTTTGAAAACTTACTATTAATGCCTGCAACATTAGTGTCGATTACGCCCACCCTCCCTTGTGCATTAATCCAGACGAGTCAGATGGTATAGTTAATAGAACTGATGTCACGAATGGTACGGTGAGAATCAATGGTGGTGTAAACCCCTTTGATCCAGGTTCTATTTCTTCGAGAAATGCTATGACCAGCCATTTCTCGGTAACAACCGACACTGACAATCATCGGTCAAGTTCATTGTTTCGAAGTTTCAAAGTCCGCGTTATTCACCAGTCCCGAATTTCAACATCAGACTGTCACAGACTACTGATGTCTAATTTGAGCCTCTCGTGCCAATACTCCCTTAAATCCCCTGTGACCAACAGAAAGCAATCGTTAGTGCGGGTTTTCATTTGCATGTAATCTGTAATTGATATTGGCCAATAGAATGTCAGTGCTTTTCCATCAGTCCGAGGCGTTCCCGTTTCCGTGAGCTCAACTAGGCGTTTCTAGAAAATTTAGACTTCACCTCGTTAAGTTTCCCAAGGTAGTCAAATCCTTCCAGGAACCCTCATCATTTGCACTTCCTTGCGTCGCATTCACTTTAGTCTTTGATCAGACCCGTAAGTTAATCGATGTGGTCTACCACGATTCTATGGTTTATGCTTCAGATCCAAATTCGGTTGGTCATCTTCTAATCTGACTGCAACCAATAATATTGGACTTACGTTAAAACCTTACTAAAATGTATCTAATCACATATTTTTGTGAATTTGCCTGATGTCCATTTACGAAACTCAATTGGTTTCCTCTATGCAAAGGAGCGAAGTGGGAAATACATCACCAAAGTCTTTAACAAAGGTAGCTTTGTGAACATTAGACAGTAGGGTCTGTTATTAACAGAGCTTGGTTTTAAGATTATCGGTTAACGGCTTTAACGGTTAAATTTCACATCTACTTTATTAACACCTGGAAGTTATATTACAAACATCCATTAAGTTGTCACTGTGTAACTTTTTCGACTGTCAAACCCTAATTCAAGTGAATTGTTTTCTCCAGCGGAACAAGTCTGAGCGATTTGGTAAGACCAATTTCAGACAATCGCTGACATTTATTGTGCGCAATAAAATTACTAACTTAAGTTTGCAATACAAACGGTATAATCCGTAATTAGAATCGTGTTTGATTTTTGGCCTCCTTTTTAATGGCACACACGATTCGAAGACCTGACAAACTTAGGTTTTTTGCTTGCATCAAAGCCTACCACCTCTTAACTGATTTGCGAACAAATTTCCCCTGTTTTAAGTCCGAATTAAACAATTCAAATGTTTGTTGCGAGTCATGCGTTCCGATCGAATGCATCTGCAATGACCAAGATTACTTGGGCTTTTCACATCATCATCACTTAAGAATTATGGAAGGGTTCATCTCAACAGCTTAAAGCATGTATTTATCTGAGTAGCAGAGACACATTTTTGATGTCAATCGTTTACTGTTTTCCAACGGACCTTGTTTTAAGTTGTTACGTAGTCTTTTTATTGACAATGGCAATTCAGCTCATAACTATTTCCTGTTTTGTCATATCAATTTTACTTCACACCCAAAAATCCCATGCTCCAGACACTGCGACCTCCGTATTTTATAAGCGTGAAACTGCTTTACAGGCTGTTTTCAGACTATGATAAAATATCATAAAGGCTACGAAAGACCGTTAAAGATAGTTCTATTTTGCGTCATTTTAATACATTCTTGTTGAATTAAGGAAACCTGCAATGGCCAAACAAATCAACTACCTCATTTTGCCACTTAATTTTTGGACGCATTAAGACTTAGCGTGGAGGTCATAGTTTTTTTTCTGAAAAATTCATTCCTAATGGCTCTTGAGATGATAAATGGTATGCTTGGTCGCTGCGACAAAGCATTACATTACGTTTTCTCGACTTGCATACTCCCTTGACCTACTGTTGCCTCTAAAAGTGTCCTTACTTGAAGATAATTTAATAGGATTTTAAAGTTACATGGGTGTAATTTTAGTGAAGCAGTTAAGTTAATATTCTTCGAAGATCATTATTATGACCTGGTTTGTACAGCCAATGCTGATTCGGCCTTTCCAAGTTCTAGGTTTTATTTATTAGAAGTCTTAATTTATTGTACAGCAGTGAAATTTCTCTACTGACTGGCGTTTTAGGGAAATTATCAAAAAAAGTAAAATGATGACAGCTGGAGTATCGTTTGGAATGGTGGGGGAAGAAAGATTGATTTGTTGATGCTTTCGAGTTCATCAACTAGCCACACAGACGGACCGCGAAGTAAAGCTGACAGATGCAGTATGTGAACGGTCAATTTGGTTGGTCAAAGTACGTGAAAATGCATCCAACCTCACAGTCGTCTGTTGCAATTTGTAGAAAGTCCTTCAATTGAGGACTACGCAAAGTCTGCCCGTCTGGCGCAACACCAATTGGCCAACCTTCGGAGCCTCATTGAGGGCGTAGTTCAACGCAAGGAGATGCAACTGGTGCTCCTTGGAATGCCCCTGGGCGCATGGTCGGAGCTTTTCTACCTCTTCGACAGAATCGCCAGAAGTGGATTTGTTGACTCCGTGGAGCTAGATTGACCCACACACCAGTGCATTCTGCATTGCATCGGCCGTAGCTTTCCTATGTAGCATTTCATGGCATCATTTGTTTCCTTCGTTTATTACTTTTGCTTTATTTTTAAATCCCTCATACACACATTACATGGTCCGGGCTGACTATCACGCAAAGCACCGTCGAACAATTTTCAAATCAACATTGGCTCAAATCGGATTTGACAATGTTGATGTAATAAAATTCACTACAGTTCAGACCATCTTTTTTCATTGAAGTGCACGAGACGAGATTATCCTCGGGTGGTCGACTTGAGATCATTTCAAAAAAAACTTAAAATTGCTAATTGTGAACGACTTGTGTTTTTAAACCTGGGGGCATTTCGGTTTGTTTTCGTGTTGAGGGGCAGCTGGCGACATGCCATAAAATGAATAAGTTTAAAATATTCGACTAATTTATTTTGTTTCTCAGTCCTTACATGTATTTATTGTTTAAGAAAATTTTGTTTCGTACCAGCACTTCAAAGCCAAGTTCGTCAAGAAATCAGGCATGAAACCTTGCCGGTGTTCCTCTTCCAGAGTGCTGTGTTTCCAACATACTTTTGAGAAAATGTCCTTTTAAGGCATTTTAGACGTCGTACGTTTGCCTTCGGCAAATTCTTTGGGAAATATTCTACCTACTTTAAGGCTAAATCATATCTGCTTACTTCTTCACGGTGCATTTTAGCAGACCTAAATAATATCTGCAGGGTGGATTGTGCCAAATCGTATGAGATCCTAGTTCTCCACTAACAAAAGTGTGCGGTGGTAACACGGTAAATACAAACTTTGGAAAACCAGCCACTAAACTAGTAACATTTTTTTTGAAATTTTTCCCCAAGGTATTTCTTAACGTATGTTTCATAACGCTTGCCATGCTGCACTTGGTTTTTTTTATTTTCATGTGAGTATTGTGCCTAGAACACGAAACACTTTTGATTTTACTGAAAACTCATTTGCTAGGATAGGGAGCTGAATGAAATCTTGCTAGAGTACACAAATGGGTTTCTGGATGCTTTATTGAAACTGTGAAGGCGAAACATTTACATTTGGTAATCAGAATTTCCAATTTACTTTACGTATTCAAGAGCAAATGGCTTTAGAACATTAATACAGGTTTTACAAACCTGAGTAGAATTGGTTTTGGAACCCTTTTCAAATTCTTGATAAATTGTAATATTCAGCGTTAGTTTTCGATAAGCATTCAAATAAAGTGTGGTTTTTTGTTGTAGAAATGTTTTTTGACTTTAAGATGCATGGTTCTCATTTATTAACATAGTATTTTTATGTCAATGTACTTTTAATTTGGGTGTTTGTTCTTGTCTAAGAACCTCTTGCAAAGAGCACGAGCTAAAACCTGTCCCTGGGCCCTAGAAAATTACGATTAAACCTCATGTTTAAGTTCATTGTTGGGACGGTAATATAGTTGACACTTGACTCCGAAAACTTACTTAAAAGTGCAGTTTGATCAATTCTTTTTGTTAATTGGATGAATTTTGCTACATAACCATTAAACTGAACAGAAAATTAAGCTGAATGATTTGTATGAAACATGTGAAATGGTCCACTAGTTGGAATTGAATTTAAAGTGACTCATAATTTAGGCATATTTTTTAATTTAGAAGTTTGTAATCTCAGGGAGAGGTTATGAGTACTAAAATGCCACCCACCGGATGGCCAAAGTGAAGTTTATCGCTGCGGCCGTGTGCTGGTAGAACGTGAAACGGAAGCGGGGAATAAACACAAAAACTGACTTCCTGGTTCCATGGAATGATATTTATGGAAAAACTTCAACACAGAAATAAGCGGCAGTGTGTGCTTATTCAAACAGCACATTCGACAATGCGATTCTGGTGATGTTGACCGTTAGAGACCAATAATTAACTCTACAAAAATGCCCACGTTTCGTCTTCTGTCCAGCAACCATGAGTTTATGCTCATCTGTGGCACAACCATAGCACATGAGGAACTGGCCGATTCATCAGCTGCGAGCCAAATGCCCCAGGTAAAAGTTCGTGCTCACCAGAGAAACATAAATTAGAATTTTTTGGGTTAATTTATTTGCCAAAAAACCGCTCCAACTAAAAGGTTTTCTGTTACGAAATATTAACTAATTATTGTCCTTTACAGACTGCAGTCATTTATAAAATAGGACACAATTGGGATGAAAGTGCAATAAAAATTAATTACGTGTGTCCTTGCTATTCATCGTTGAAATTAGCTGATAAACTTCCTCGGGTTGTTTAAATGTACATTTTCATTTTGTTCATGAGGCAGACAAGGCTGTAGTCTTTACATCTAATTCTTGTGAACAAATTTTACTTTGAAAAATATGATTAACATCTCTTACTGGCACTTAAAAGTCACACTTAGAAAGCAGTGTTTCATTGTCAATACATTTTCGATGATCTACGTAAATGTTTTTATCATGCATCCATTTGGAGGGCAGATGGGTGGCTGAGAGCTGAAATAAATGCATGCACTTTGACAGGTTTTGGATAAATGAGATAAGGTCATTAAGGTTATGCAAGTCAAATAGTCTAAAACACGGCACTTGATTATGCGCTTCAAGATTGGTTAGCAAAAAGAGACGTACATATAGGTCGGGGTTTTCTTAATTTATTTTGCAACTTGAAAGGCATTTTAGGATGTATGCTCTATTATTACAGATCCCTGTAAAAGCAAGAAGCAAACTTCCAAAAGCTAACGATGAATAACCATTTCACCACGGAAATACAGGTGAGATGTACTAAAACAGATTTTCCAATACTTGTATACTAGCAAATGATGTTTAGCAGAATACGTAATTTGTATCGTCTACAAAATAACCCTCAAAATTCACGTCCTGCTGAGTCATATTTTTGGGACGCTCAAATAAGCAAGTGGATTTCAGTGCATTGCATTGGGTTTTGCAGTAAAATCAAACACAACAAAGTAATTTTTGTCACCTTTATTGAAACATTACAATGTTTGTACGTACTTTAATTCCTCTGATTATTAACAGAAAGCAAAAGAGGAATTTCTTACAGTTACTAATTTGGTTATACGTAGGGGAATAATCATGTTTTTCAGCTTTAATAGCAAACACTAACACATGTGTCACGAAATTTATTATTAAGGGTAGAAGTCAATCAGTATACTTATGTCGCTTTAAAGAGTCGAACGTAAAAACTGACAATTTTTGCATTAGAGCATTAGGAGAGGAATCAGGGCGTTACCTATTCCCACCGAACAATTAAAAACATAATTGGTGCAAAAAACTCTTAGCTTGGACAGAAATCAGGCAGGCGAATTCGACTCTGTAGCTATTTGCTAGCAATTTATTATATAAGCTTGTTTGAACCTTCGTTAAATCCTAAAATGTCTGCTTCTGTTGGTGATCAATGGCCTTGTGTGAGGTATCTAAACAGATTCATCTGCTTAACACCAATGCAACGTTTTCTCTGTTTCATTCTATTCCCTAATTGTACCTCCTTAACCCGTATGTGTGCGTCGTTGTTAAGCATGGGCAAGGCCTGGGACCCAATAAAGACAGAACAAAACCCTAATTCCCACCACAACCTACCGCCCTTTTGAATTTGAGTATAAAAAGTAAGTAGGGATGTAAGGTCCTGAGAAATTTGAATGATAATGGGTTCTCATGTCATGCTGGATTTAATTAACAGATGTTAGAGCGTTATTTAGTGGATGTTGAAATAAACGAATCCTTGTTTACATTGGAGGTTTTGTACAAACCAAGAAGGTGGGTTTTTCCTCCCCTTTGAAAAGAAAAATAGTGCTGTAGAACGTTGTCTTATAACGAAACTCTTTATTTGCAGACAGAATTTAAACTACTGCCAAAGAGGGCTCCTGTAATTTACAATGGTACAAGTATTCTTTTTTCTTAATTAAGAACCAAATTCGTTAATATTCCTAGTTAGTCCTGGGATGTTATTGAACCTCATGAATTGTGCTAACCATCGTTTGCCTAAAGGTACAATTCTAAACAACACCAATTATATAATGCTCGTATTTTAAGCAAGCATTTGCCTTTTAATCATGCAAATCTGTTAGCGATTATATAACTGAGATGGCAGTGTTACATAATTAAGGTAAGGTTCCAACAGATGAAGGTGTGTTTAAAACTTTGAACAAAGCTGACTGTTATCAGCTCCACGACCTACAAATCCAAAACAGAATCACTGAAAAACATTAATTAGTAGCCTTACTCTTCTATTTGGATCTCGATTCTGTAAAGGATGATAATAAACTGCGGTAAAACCATTTACGATACTATTCTTTCGACTTACAAATGAGTAGTCAAACTATGCTGTGAAACCACATGCTGGGGCCTATCACAATACTTTAATTCGTTGTTGTCTATGTAACCAAAGTAAAACGAAGAAAATAAACCATGATGTTTGTCCAAGTTTGAGCGCAGCTAAGTGTATTCCAAACGCATCAATCTGCAAGCGTGTGAACACACAAGAATGTATCGGTGACTCTCACAAAGCTAGGAAATTAGTAACGAGGTTTTGGAGCAGCCAAAATAATTCTTAAAATTTATCCAAATGGCTTATTTTGAAAAATATAAGTACTAATTTTGACTTTAACATTTATTCTTTATGCTCTTAAATTGTGAAAACAGGTTCTTACTTTTAAATTTCACTAGAAATTAAGCAAAATCATTTCATTTTCAGAATAAAACGAGAGTATTAAATATGACATTAGTAAATGGAAGAGTGCTAAAGTCATTCAGCTCTCCGTTGGTTCTATTTACACCAGACCCATGTATTTCGACAAACAGAAGCTGGCAAACATTTTAGCTCTATGTTTAGGTCTTACTGAGGGTGATAGTATACTGAAAATCGAACTAGTTACAAAAGCGATGATAGCACCGCACTATGTCACGAGTTACTAAATTTTATTGTCTGTTCTACATATTTATGCACAAGGAGTCACAGGTAATTTATTTTAAGCAGTTTTTGTTAAAATGATTTTAAATTGTTCTACTGCAAATATTTGAACTTCGTTAAATATTACGACCACTTCCATGATAAACGGTGGAATATATGTGTTAACTTACCAAAACTTTTATCGAAAGGTCGATTTTGTGTGTTCCTTTTGTAGCGTTTGCACGCCAAATGTGCCATTCTCTGCTTTCTGAATTATCAATTCCTCAGGGCTTTGTCTCAACTTTTATGGACGGAAAATATTAAACAGAAACAAACTCAGACGCTAACAACTTCGGCAGATAGTCACGTAAAATAACAGAAGACTTTGATCGAATTGTCGAGTTAGCGTGAGGATCCTACATTTTCGGGCTGCAAATGTATAAATAACTGATTCAAAAATGCAATATCCTGCCATATTTTCCCATATCAAATTAATTTATTACATTTTCAATATGATTGACATTCACAATTTAAACGTTTATTTAAGACTTGTGAATGCACATCAAGACTAGACTAACTTGTTATTTTGCTTCGTCATTAAACTAGATTATTTTCTTTTTTCGACCGATGCAGGTAACTTGAACACACTGTAAAAAGTCACGTGGAGTGAGGGCACCTTGTTAAGTTTAGCATTCTCAAGAATAAATGCCTACACTTGCCTCAATTCCCCAGAATAAATTACAATAATGAAAAACCAAGCCCATCTGTTACAGAATTTATTCCACGAATTAATGGCTAAGTATAGATGTATACTAATATACTGAAAGGAAAATTATACATTATTTTAAGTTTGGCTTCTACACCACTTCAGAGCAATCATGACATAAATTTGTTTTATAACTTCATGGTTGTCCTTTATATTTAGCGATAACGAAAGCTTTCATTTTTTTGTTACACAAAATCAAGAATCACATTAGTGTACAGGTCCACCAATACCATCTGCACGGTATCAATAAAAACATTAATGGTAGAAATTACCAATACATTCGCTAACTCTGTGTGTTAGAAGTGTTAAGTCATTGAATTATAAGAAAATTGTATCTGTTTATTTGTGGCAGGGACATAGGCAATGGTCAAATTTAGTACCACTTTTATATTACCGTATCCAAAATTAAAACCTAAGCCTTTACCATTTTAAAATAAAAATTCGTTTAAACCCTTGACTTTTTTTAGCCTTTATTCACACAGAGAATAAAATCTAACACCTTTCGCATGTCACGTGCTTGTTTTAATAGTGAAGTCCTTACTTGCGGGTTCTTCAGGATTACTGCTAAGGTAGAATGCACCTCACGTTTAAGACGTTAAAGCAGCAGACATTCTTCTTAGACGCTAACGAGTCGGATCTGGTAAATTGTATTGATTTTTTCCTATCTATTTTTAAATAGGTAGGAGATGTTAAGGAAAATATTAAAAAGTCAAAGCCGGAGGATTATGGGGGTTCGCAACTGAAGTTAATTTATTCTGGTATGGCAAACTCCACCCACATCTTTTGTGTTAAGGAAAGGTAATGGAAGATGACAAAACTCTTGGTCATTATGGAGTCACCGAAAAAGGCTTTATCGTCGTTATGGCACAGATTGTAAAACAGCCTAAAGAGAGCAACCTGGAGCCCATCAAAAAAGTATGTATCGTCCCTCTTACCTCTTTTTGGTTTAATAGATTCCATCATCTACAGCCCCTGCTGCATCAGAGACGCCTGAGGCTGCCTCGTCTACGAAGGAAAATCCGCCTTCCCAGGCTCCAGCGTCATCTGAGCCGACCGCCACTATGGATGCGTCGCTGTCGTCCGGAGGAAATGCTCTTTTAACTGGGGATAAATTGGAGGAAGCAATTAAAAACATTGTAGAAATGGGGTTTGAACGAGATCAGGTAGCTCTATTAGTTGTTTACCTGGTTTTTCGTTTCACTTATTTTATCAACCCTTTTCTCCTAATTCATACCTTCAACAACATTAATACAAGGTTTTCGCGTCAGGAAGCGTTGTTGTGCTGAAATTAAGTGTAATTTTTGGTTATTATGGAAACATTTAAGTAGTTGCTGGTTCAATTAAATCTATTGGAAACTGTCCAATCTACTTTTTTTCAGTTTTCAAGATCTGATCAAAATGTTATAATACACTCTAAAAACTATGCATTCCACTAGTGGCGTGACTGTTTTCTTGATGAAGGTTCTATTTCCCTTTCTCGCATGAATTCTTTTTGTAATTCCTTTTTTTAATTTTAATCCGCAAATCTTTTCCATAACTGTGCCTTTATTCGGTTTTTTGGAATTGTTTTTTTTATCTGTAGGTACTTCAAGCCTTACGATTAAGCTTCAACAATCCGGATCGTGCTGTGGAGTACTTAGTTTCAGGTTCGATGCCGGCAACGGTTTCTGAACAGCCACCCGCACAACATCAGGCTCCTACAGCCACTGTTCCTCAGCAGCCACCCACGTCAGAGTCTGGCGTTTCTCGAGATACCACCAATGAGCCAGGTACCGGTGCCAATCCTATGCAGCTGCTCACTCAACTTCCACAGTTCCAGCAACTGCGGGCTCTCCGTGGCAACCCCCAACTTCTCACCCAGTACATCCAGCAGCTTAGTACATCCAACCCAGAACTCCTTAGGGTTAGTCAATGTTTTGTCGTCATTTCTGGCGTCTTATTTTGCTAGTCACTTTTTGAACTATTTTTAAAGCAGCTAGATTTCTAGTTATTCTAGCTTACGACCGACCAATGACAATTTTTGTCCCATAATTTCTAATGTACTCTCCACATACTATTTGTTTGCTGCTTCCCATGAATGTTCAGTAAGGGACACGCCTGCACCTTTCCCTATAAACGTTTGTATGTATTTGTAATATTGGATTAAAATCTCCCATGTTATTATCGGACATGGTAAGTTTATTAAGGGTAACCAGCTCTGTAATTTATTTTACTAGTATATTGACAAAACAACTATCCGGTCTTTTTTAATTCCTCGGGTTTTTATTGATTTACAGCTCATTCAAGCCAATGAACAGGCCTTTCTAGATTTCATAAATGCAGACGATGATGTGACAAATCCAGAGGGTGAGCAACCCCAACCACTCCCCCATCATATAATACGTCTAACCGAACAAGAAAAATCCGCTATTGACCGGCTTAAGGCACTCGGCTTTCCCGAGGATGATGTTATTCAGGTGAAATTTGCTACCTTTCCCGTTTGAACTTTATGCAGTTGATACCAAATGACTGTTAAATTCTCTTCCGTTTCTGCGTGTAATTTTGCTTTTATCTGGTCTGCATATTAGTACCAATAGACATTAAGCAATTAACTAATAGAAATCCTGTTGTTTGTCACTTCTAACTTGTTGCTCATCCCAGTTCAACAGCTTTTCTCAAAAGTAATTATTGAGCTGTCACTGACGATCGCTCTAAATATCCGGGTCACCCTAATTTTGCAATTCATACGTAAATACACTGTGCAACTACGCCTTCGCGCTAGATGCTAAGCCATGGTAATCCGCTCATCATCTTCGAAACAGTTTTACGTCTCAAACCTTAGTTGGTCGTAATTCTGCTAACGTCTCTTTTTCGCCACCTCCAGGCTTACTTCGCCTGCGACAAGGATGAGGAACTTGCGGCCAACTTCTTACTCAGCGAAAACCAGGATGATGCAGTGTAGGACTAGTAGTTCCGTTTGGAGCCCTGTTATCTCACCTTCCCTTCCTTTCTCAAACTTATGTCCTCGACTTATAACCAACACTTCACATAATCTCTTCCCACTTATCCTTTCACAATGAAAATCTGATGTGGACATGTGTTTCCATACATTTTTGCAGTCGCAAACGTGTGCCTATCAAATATGGGGTTACAAGTAGCCATGTCTTATGGCCGAAGCTTGAGTCAATCGAATCCGCTGGGTTTTTCGTTGTTTTGTTAATTTAACGCATGCTTGATCTGGTCATCGACCCAGCGTGTTTTTGAGATGCTATACCCGCATAAGACACGAACAATTTTATTAGGTATTAGATATTAATGAGGGTGTTTACCTCCAATGCAAAGCCTTGATCTTCTAGGAAATCAGGTGGAACTGGTATATTCTCCGCTGGGTGCGGATTTAGGTAATCTGTCTTGTGGTGAATTTCATAAATCACTAGAAGGCCTCTGGTACATCATCCTTTTGCCAAATGAGGATTCTTACTGATTCCTATTATTGCCATAAGATTTCCTTGCTTCATTCTAGAGGAAGTAGCTCTTTATGATCCAAATGCGGAACCACTAAATGCCCATTATGTTGTTTTTTGCTTCAATTGCTTTGGTTGATCAAGTGTTCATTTAACTCATCTTGACCTTGCACTTACGATGACCACCGATCTGGGGTACGGGCTCTTTCTTGTTAACCATGTTAATTCATTAGAACATCAGGTACCTGCTTCTAGACTTGCAATGTAAAAATCAACCCACTGGGTGTTTCTGTTTGATGGTGCTTGCTCATTAAACTTACCTGTTTTGGAAAAATAAGGATGATAGAAGTCAACAGTCTTTTAATATGCTTAGAAGCCATTTTAACGCATCAGCACATTTTGGTCCGTATATGGACTCTGATGAGGTGTTCAATCCCAAAGCAAATGACTTATGGGGCTCTCTAGAATTACACTTTGGCCCAGAATGTACGAAACAGGAATTGCTAACAAATAAGACCGCGTGTTACAACGAAATCGACTTCGCTAAATAAAAGACAGTATGTATATTACAAACCTCTGAGTAAATACTCGTGGCTTTCTCACAGGCGAGCAATTAGAAAACATGCTGGGAGCTCCTTAGACGTGATGAACTTTGGGGTTAGTTAAAGACAACCAGATAGGCAATTTAGTGTGTTACATTTGACGGGTAAACACATTTATCAGTACGAACAGTTGAATGAACAAACGACCAGTGTCAAACAGTATCCAGTCTCATAGACATGAGTCATGAACATGCACAAGACTTTAAATTACTTTTTCAATGTTTAGAAATCCTATTCGTACATCTATTGAGGCCCCAAGAAAAATCATGCGACTTATCAGTCATTTAGTGCAAATCGGTTAGGTGTTTACGATTTTAGCATTAGCATTTTGGAGATCCCCTTGGAATTCGCTAACAGAGAATATCAGATGTTATCAGCCAGTTACTTTCCGCTCTTATGATTGTAACATTTAAATTGAAGAACAATCAACACCATTTAAAATGACCTTTTAGCAACTATCACGTGACGAAAAGACAATTAGCATAAAACTGTCGCAAAAGGTCGTGAAAATTGATTATTCGAAGTAATCACCTAATAGGCATATGACAGCTCATTTTAGCTTATTTAAACCTACCTAGCACACTTTTTATAATTTTCCTAAATATTTCGTAACCGTTTGGATTTAAGAAGAAAGTCGCAAATGTTGTCAAACTGCGACGTATTTCAAATTTCCTCAGCTAGAAAAAATGAATTAAATACTGTTCAAGAATGCTACGAATAAGTTTTCGACATTGTGGTACTTAACTAATGAAAACTGTGAGTTCCCTTTCACATTTGCATGTAGTTTAATATGCTTTATACTCAGGACTCAAATAATAAATCACGTAAAGCATTCCTTGATGACAAATACTCATCCTGCTCATTTAAAAGTCATCAAATTAATAGCCTGCCTAATACAGATTTGTTTTTGCCTTAGACGATTCTCGCGTCAAAATAATGATTGAAAAAACCACTTATTTTACATTTATTGGGCATTGGACCAATTCAGAATTTTAGCTGACATAAAAAAGAGTATCACGAACTATAACGTGTGTAAACATACTATAGTCACGTTTCTCAATTGTGGCTTTTGTAAATTCGATGATGCAGGCATTTGATTCAACTATGTTTGCGATAGCAAAAACATTGTGATATGGAAATTCATACGGGAATCACGTGTTTTTCATTGCTGGGACGACATTTTTGTCATAGGATGCTCAACACGATCACAACTGCCGAATTTTAGCCTAAATAATTAAAGGGTCGAAATTTTATGCTATATTTAATTCAACATATTTAGATAAAAGTTAAATTTAGAGTGCGATGTTTTTGCTATGGTCTTAGAGAAGTCAAAATATTTAAAAGTTAATAAATCTTTCAATTTATTCATAAGATTTTGAATGGAAAATTATGAATTTGAAACTCGATCGTGTGATTTGCAAAGATAAGGTGAAAGGAGATATATTTTTTGAGCACGTGCCACTTACATAAGTTAGAAAAATTTCACTAATATTTAAATTCTCTTTTAGATACATAAATCACAAAACGGCAGTAATAGTTGGTATAATCCATCAATCTACAAAATTTATAATATTTTTAAATGTTGTAGATTGATGGATATTTTGAATTATAAATTTCGGATAAAAACTGAACACCAGTTATCTCTTTTTTCAAAACTAAGCTGCATTTGTTAATACAATATACAATTGATTTCCCCATTAAATACATCTCAAGTGCATGCATTTTCGGCAGACCCGAACATCTTGGTCCAGACTACTATATAAACTGCAATTTTGTGCCCATCACATTGGCTATGTTTGTTCAGTCGCCATTGCCGCCAAAATTCTAGGATTTGCTGTTTCTACCTTACTGATACGCAAAACTATATCCCCGAGAATTTCGGGTTTGAATCGGTAAATATTTTCAGATAAGAGTTGCATATTTCAGTAACAATTTTGTGAATCATATATTACGTAACAAAGTAAAAACATAAACATTATATTACTTTTATCAACGCAGAGCAAGAGAAACTTCCGGCATTTCGTTTTATTGCATTCTTTCTACAACAAACTTATTGGGCTGATGGAGCTTAGAACAACCCAGCCAATCCAATTTGCGTTTGCTTTCCTGCCTTTTTTCTGTAATTCCTTGCGTTTTATTTTATAATGTAAGCTCTGTTAAAAGTTAGCGTACACTTGTTTTTTTTATTGATTTGAACACTAATATTTTTAAGTAAAATGTTTTGGCTGGCATTCAAATATGTTTAATGTTGTAAGTTTGTGAACTGTTGTAACCATTGATTTATCTCAATCTTTCACGGTATTAGATCCGCATTCAAGTTCCGTATATATCTCAATACGCCCCTGATGCTATTTAATCCTTAGTGCCTTTGCTCTCCAAAAACTGACTTTAACCTATGTCGAAATTTACATCTAACCGCTCTTAAAGCGCTCTTAAAGAAATGTAAGACGTGGCCTTTTGGTGCCTGCAAGGTGTTAAACTACAGAATTTTAAATCTTTCTGATGACGATCCAGTTTCGCGTCTTCATTTTTTTGTTTTGACCCATGAAAAGTATAATGCATGTCATTCACACATAATTACGTCCTAAAAATTGGTTGAAAAACGAAATTCTTAAATTTTAAATTCAGTTCCTTGACATCTCTGCCCTAGAAAACAACGTTATTGACATTGTTTACCTAAACGATGCATATTTTTTTAATATGAATTTTTGTGTGTTTACAAACCATGGACATTTTATGCTCTTTGTAGATGCCCTTCTAACCTTCCTCTTTCGCATACTTCGACTATGTCTTCAGTAAATAGTGTTAGTAAATCCTCTCGCAGATCACACTCCAGTCTCTCTTGTGTATGCAAGCGCCCAGATTCATCTGTACTCGATTCGCGCAATGCAGAACCCTTGAAGGTGATCAAACGTCCAACCATCGGAATTGTAAATGCCAACGAGTCTCATAATAACCACCGTGGGTCAGGTGCAACACTTGATGACGCCTCCTCACTTGTCGATCAGAGCTCTTCTGCTGTGTCTCCTGCCAAATCGACTTCTAGATTCCTCACTGCGACCAGTGTTTCTCAGTCAGATTTGTTTGGGATTAATTACAAACCGAATACCCTCACAATTACTCAACGAGAAAGTATTTATGTGCGGGCTTTATTCCGTTATGATCCCTCAACTGATCGTGGTCTTGCTGCTCGTGTAAGTTCATTGATAATTTATCATTTTAAAGTTTATTGCATTCTAGTTGGTTATAATATGAAGGAGCTATTTTTGAATAGTAATAAGAGCTAATTTTCAATTAAATACGACAATATAACCAATGTTTCCTTTGGAATTTGAATATAATTTTATCGTGGCGTCAATAGTGAATTGATAGTAATCGTCTTGTATAATCCGCAAAATTGGCGAAGCAATTGGCGCCAATTTACGGCAATTACGAGGCTCTCGATCGGTTAAGAAAAGACAACAATCGGGTTTCATACGAATTTGATTGTCACAATTCATATCATTATTGTTGTGATTTGGAATCATTATATAGACATTACGATAGCCGATCCTTTACTCAAATACATAAATTTTAAATTTCGCTCTCGTGTGTACAACGTTCACTTTTCGTGGTTCGACGATTTTATCACATGAATTTTTCAACTATGGAACATGACTTCGATTCAGTAATCTTGATATAAAATTCACTTCATTTCCAACAATTCCTTTTACTTAAATATTTGTAAGAGTTTTTAAACGTCATATTTTGGTTTTTAACGGTTGTAAAATATGGATTTCTTACTAAATATAGAAACTACAAAAGAGCTGCTTGGACTAGCATGTAGGTTTACACAAGATCGCAACTTTTACTGTGAAATTGCTTATGAAAGTTTGGATTTAAGCCCAATTAAAAAACGTATTTTTTCAACACCTGAAACTCAACAAGATTTAGTGGTAAAATCCCACGCCTCTATTGTGTACCTAATAGGTGGCACGACTTTTCGGATGAAAATTAGGCATTTTGATCTTGTAACCAGTCCACGTCGAATAGCATCCAGTGTTTATCGAAAAAGGGGCATTGTTTGGGAAGCGAAAATGCCCTTCCAAAGGTTGAGAGCAAAAGGTCTGCTTCGCGAAATCTGTTCTGTGCAGCAACTTGACTCCTGCTTAAACTCATTCCTTTTCACTCACATTTTGCCATTGACAACTAAGACTAAGCTGAACCTAGTGGCAGTTGTGCTTAATGGAAACTTTCGTAATGTTTGGCATAATAATAACATGTTTCGGACATGACCAACTCGACAATTGAGACGTGACATGAAGTGACTGAGAAATGCGTTCTCGTTCCGCAGGTTAAGACACAGTTCTTCTCTAGGTTATGACACCACCTACCTAATCTGTGCTAATATCCACCAATACGAGGTCTCACCTAGGCTCAGGATGAGGCACGTGCCGTCCCTTCCGAAGCCTCCGCTTGCTAAGACACTAACGATGGGAATGCTTGGTCCGTGTTGGAATCTTTGTAAATCATCGTTTGTCCACCTGTAGAAGTACTCAGATTATTCGGCCAGTCTTCCACATTACTGCTGACTACAGCCGGCGTTTAATGTGTGGTTGCACTTCAGGATTACTGTCCATTCCACTAGTCACAATGCACAGGCTGCTAGCGACGAATGTTCGTTTCCATGTGACCTGAACACAGCAAGTGCCAAAGACCTTCTGTCTCTCGACATCTTCGAATAGTCCCCACGCCAACCCCTCGCATGCTACCGAGGCCACCAAACCTATCCACATCACCTAGTTTCATCATAAAGCCGGGGAAAATACCACTCGTTCCATCGGAAACCAACACATTGTCACGATCTCAGGTCAATCTCTTCACTGTCAGATTGTTTGACGTGTTTTCTTCTTCCGCCTTTACTTCTTAAATACTGCAACCACCTCGCACGGGTTTCACTTCAGTCTGGACAACGACGACGACGACGACGAAGTTGATGCATTCCCCATTAAATGCCTTAAAAGTCGCCCCAAAATACGTCATTGAGTGTTTTTTTTCTGATTGAATGGAGGGCGTTAGAGGCTGTTGAGCTAGATACGAACAAACAAGAACGAGTTCTAGCATTCGAGACAGGAAATAATGCACGACTCACGCTGAATGCAGGTGGCAAACTCGCTGGTGCGATGGAGCAGCTCTTCGGTGATCCTTTCTTTGAGAGGCCCAAAGAGAATTAGCGGACGTGCCATTTTCAGGGTCACGGGATGCACAACCTCGTAGGTGCGCGACAGCCGCGTGCCCAGTGCTAAAATACACAACCCCACGTTATCGTGCGTGGACGAGGAGGGCCAATCACACGAACGTGAGCACTTTTGATGCTTTAGCACTTCGCTTCACTTAAATAGGTGGGGTCACATAGGCCAGTTGAGGGCGCGGTTTGAAACTAAAAATGAGGTGCTCTCGTTGGGACATGGTGCTGGTGGCGGTGGTGGTGGTGGGGTGGAGTGCCGAGTCCCAGTACGCGTGAGCACTCTGAAATTGACAATTGAGTGGTGACCTGACGGGAGACGACTGTGGTGATGGTGGTGGTGGTGGCATTTGCACTGAGCAGGCAACTGTCAAAGTAGCATTTCACAGGTTTCGTCGTTTACTTGTTGACTACCTCAGCCGCAGAAGGCAAGTGTCATGCAAACGGTTGAGCTCTTTGGAATCATCCGCAGGCATGGACACTGGTTTGTGTAAGGGGAAGTCGGCTAAAACTGTGGAACCCATTTAAGGAAACATCCGAAGCGAACAGGAGTCCATGGCGAAGGAACAGCAAGGTATTCACCACTTTTTTATGACTCCGGATACGAGCTTGATGGTTTTCTGTATTTTCAGTCCTATGCTGCCCGCCAATTTTCCATATCCATAACGTGACAAATAACGTAATGCTTTTAAGCATAGGTGAAAAGCCATGTACGATGAGTGGGGAGGCAAGGTGCCACACGACAGATAGACTAGTTTGGTCCGAACGACAAAACGCGCGTTCCTACCTTGGTATTTTGTTGTTGATTCCGAATGGGTTTCCGAAGCCACCACAGCATCTCAGGTGATATGTTTCTTTTAATAATAATTATCTGTCAGTCCTCCTTTCGTGTTCAAGTCTGCCGTTTTGCGTAAATAGACCTTCATTCCCTTAGTGCATGATGCTTGAGCACTGAAGAGTCCACTTTGTTCACCTGAATAGGCGTTTTGTTATAGACGTGAAATGTTAATTTAAAATGCTCACTTGATTTTGCAATGGCTTTTTTCCATTTTACCCGAAAAATCACACGTGTTCTTTAGTTGACTGGCAGATGACCTCATCTACAACAGTACTATTAAATTAAATCAGAGTTGTGAAATTTTTTACACAAATCATGCAGTGCACTTTCAGGCGTCGTTTACATGCATCAAATCCTTTAGGTACCTTTGGTTACGGATGTTTTTATATGGTCATGTGAAAAATCATTGTCCCTTCATTCATTTTCAAGATTTTATGAGGATAGCGACGGTGGTTGCTTTTGCAGAACTAGCGTTGCAAATACACCTGTCTGAAATGTACTTTGTATTAATTAACCCTTGAAAGTGCCCTGAACCTGCTGTTGAGTTACTAGTTCTGTTTTGGATCTTCTGGATCATGGTAACAGGAGGAAAGGCTGAAAAAAATACTTATTCCATTTGTTTTCTTTTCCTTTTTGCTGTTTGCTACCCCTGTTCTTTTAGTCACCATGAGTTCCTGTATGTGGTAATTACGCGTTCCTTATGTTAACAATGAGAATTTGGGTAAATATTGAAGCGGCTCGTTAGATGTGCTCATCGTAAATTCAAGGGTTTTTTTGCTATTGCTGCTTTTGTGGAATGTTCTGAGGAATTTCCTTTAAATTAGCTTTATACTAGCTGAAAACATGGGATTATTTGGCTTGAATGGCGTGCTGTCTTCCCACACCTCCACCCAACCTTGTTTGTTTGTGCCATTAGGGTGCACTTAACCTCACACCTCGAGTTGTACCCTTCAGGGCCTTGCCTTTGAACACGGAGACATCCTGTACGTGGTGAACGCCAGCGACCCAGAATGGTGGCAAGCTTGCTATGCCTTTCCCATCCCCTCCCCTGCTTGGGCATCAAGTAGTTCTTCCAACAACGTTCCATCCGAAACCCCACCTGCCCTTCGCCACACCAACCATTCTCTTGCCACGTCGGCATCGTCGGGTCGCCTCGCCATCATTCCCAGCCAACGTCGTGTCGAGAGGCGCAATAGGATAGCCTCCAAGAGGGTCAAGTTTGTGGACAAGGAAACGGACCTTAGTGGGGGCAACGCCAGCCCTTGGAGTTTGGCTGGTGGTGAGGTGCCGCAGCAGCAGCACTACTTTGAAGGAAACAAATTTTTTAGTGGTGATGGTGGCAGTTCCTCATCCTTATCTGTTATTGGTGGCAGTGGAGACAACAGCTATCCTATCGGTGACTCTGCATCGATTGGTGGGTTCTCCTTCTACTGCATGTTTATAAATTGCCTTTCTAACTGCAATGCCTGGTGCGTTTAGAACCCACATTTTGTAGTTGTTGCTACTAAAAATCCTCCTTACTCATCAGTGCTTCTGCGATCGACCATAAAACTACTCCTCTCGGTTTATTTGCATACGATTCCAAACATTGGTATGAACGTCCGTTACTGTTGGCGATTGGCTTTCCGTATCTCAGAAAAACGCGTGGAGCTGCTCTACCTCGTTCGTAGATTTCTTTTTATGCTAATTTGCTCTTGTCGTTTGGTTTGTTTTCGTAAATTTGCAGGTACCTGTCACGACACTGACCTTCAAATAAGTCCGCATAAGCAAGAACCTATGGCGCCTATGAACACCTTTAAAGGTCCCAGTATACGTTACATAACTCGTCAGTTTTGTATAATTGCGTTTAACGCCCTGTTCTTCGATGAAGATATTTTCTTTTGAATTGGCTTCACTTAAGTTATTTTTAATACCTAAATTATCATACTGTGTGTAGCATATCCTGGAAGGTTTAGGCCATTTTCTTTACTTGCTGGAGGTAATAAATCTGCCAGTGCAAGGTTCTCTCAACTGGCTAGATGGGCTGCAGCCTCTGTTGATCCCTGCTCAATGTGGTGTTTGTGCATGCAGTGGCAGCTTTTGTTCTGCCTATCTACTAAATCTTCTATTAAGTTATGGGTTTACTTCTCTATCTAATGAGTGAAAAAGTTAATCACTGCGTTTTTGCTGAACGCCATGCCAAACGGCGGGCTACATGATTGGTTCAATCTCTAGTGGGATGCGCTGTATCTGCAAGTGTGATTGGGAAATTGCCCGGTAGATTGTACATTGAAGCGATTTTAAGACACCAGATTTGCGAACAGTTACATGAATGCTCGTCTGTCCGTTTTTAGACGGCATCATTACGCTACCACTTTTAATTCGAGTGATATCAATGTTTGCAGGCAACTTTGTACTCACTGTGTCAGTACACGGATCGAAGGTTCTCTGTCTAGAAAACCCTATACAACGTCGTCAATTAAGTTAATGTCCATTTGCAGCATCATTAAAATTAAACTTTTTTTTAAATGTTTATTTGTTCTTCAACACTTAATCAAAGTAAGCGCGTGCTCGTACGCACAGAATATTCTGGTCTTGGCTTGTTGCCAATCGAAGCTGCACATACACACACACACACTGCACTTACACCGTTTACGCCATAGTCTCATGCGCTTTAGCCGCTTTTCCACCTATAGCGACTAATGCCCCTCCCACGACTGCAGAATTCTGTGAATCTTTCGGCCTTGCGTGATGGCATGTAATTCACTGTTGGAGCACTCCCTTCCTGGGTTCAGAAACAACAGTTACATCCATTTTGACAACTTAAGCGACCTGTCGTAGAGCCTTCTATGCTGATTTTTTTTTAAATGGTCGGTCGCAAGTCAGGGAATGGGTCCGCTCTACGAATCAACGAACGCAACTACACGCAGACTTCGACATTTCATCCATGCTGATTTGCATGAAAATCTCTGGATTTTGCTGTGTGTTTTAATTCACAGGCTACTTCGATGTGATTTAGCACATTCAAATCACACAGCATTTTACGTAACCTTTGTCCCCTTGTCCTTATGCTCCTCATTCAATAAATCTGAAAATTTCATATATGTGAATTTAATCTGGTATAAACCGTTTTACAGGACTGAGTATCAACTAATTAAGCCGATGCAAACTTTCCTTCCACCGATGCCAATTTGTCTTGTCAGTTCACACAACTGTCGAACTTCATGGAAGGATTCTTGTCCACATAAATTCCCCCCTCATTATGCTGTTTTCTAGCTTGTTGTGGTATCTTTTAATTCGGTCACATTGACATCATCCTGAACCGCTAGACTTGAGCTACGGAGTCTCGGTAGCCAAACTGCGCGCGAGTCCTGGTACCTGCGAGTTTAGTGCAGTCTGGCGAGGATTGGCTTTCATTTAGTTTACTGCCGAAAGTGCGTCGATCCCCTCTGGCTGCTTGAGTCGGCATGGCGCAGATATCTCCCCGCACGTGCGCCTTCCACTAGTGGCCGTGGCGCTGCACCGTCAATTCTTTTATCGGATGGTACAGCACTTTTACGTTTGCACGTTGCGAAAGCATTCCTTTCCATCCCACGGTGGTTTACCATTCGTCGTGAATACACTTACCGCAACACTCGGGTGTCCCTTAGGTAGCGAAGCTATTTGTCGCTTCTGCTTGATTGCATAATCTTGAAGACATGATGCTTGATGCCGCATTGCTCTTCATGGCTGTGTGTGACTTCTTCTTCTTCTTTAGGTGGCACTCTGGATCGGCGAAAGAAGCCCAATTCCTTCTCCATCTTCAAGCGTTTCTCTAGCAGACGCGATCGAAAGGACCTTGACGTGGCCGGAGGCACACTGAAGAAGAAGAGCATTTCTCTTGAAGACATGCAAACTGGTGGTAAATTTTCGCATGTTTTTATCCTTGGCTGCACTGTTTAGCTTCAAAAAATTGCAGTTAATCTGGTGACAGGTGCGCCTGGCTTGAATCTTCATAGTACAGTCTCCAAAATTGAAAATAGACGCATAAAAGTTGTTTGATATGATTTTGCAGTTTGTGACTGCTTGCGCCACGTTATCCCTCCCTCAGGTTCCGGTGTCCCAATCCAGCAAAATTGTGCTGGAACATCTTCTGTATTTTTTTTAACGAGATAGAAGCAGCGTGTTTGACGAACTCATTACTCAGTTGTATCAATTCACCTTTTCACTCCTTCTCCAAATGTCTTATCTCAGCCTAAGTGATGTTTTTTTTCGGGCAATAAGCAATGTTTTTGGTTAAGGTTCAGAACTTAAATTTCGTCTCCTGGGTTGTGTTTTAGCGGTTAAGGATTTAAGTTGTTGACGAAACTGCATCGTCGCGTGAATTGACACTCTTGACAATTTTCAATGGTTTTATTTCCACTCGGTAAATCGCTACTAAACTTAGTTCTAATCGTGGTAGCATTTAACACGACACGAATGAAGGAATTCGTGATTTGCATCAATCGACCGCGTTGTATTGCTTATGGTCTTTGGGGAACTGCTGCGTTGGATAATCAAATCTGGACCAACTTTGGTTTTTCTCGGGTGAGTACAGTTGTCGTTGCGGCGGATTCTTTCGCTTAAATGTTTTCGGACATCATCTCAACGAACCATACCCTCCTTATTTGCGTATTGAGACGTGCACACACTTAAAAGTGCCTATTAGCATAAATTTATTTGCCATTTTGCCACATGCAAAGTTGCAAGAATTTTAGTTTGTTTTAGTATTGTGTTAAATAAATTATGACCTGTTTTTCAAATGCATCCTTAAACTGACGTGTGATTCTTTCAAAAAATCTGAAATTTAGCCTTTTGGTTTGAAGTTAGCCCAAGCGCTTTCAGCCTTCAAAATGTACTCATTTCTACTCTCTGGGCAATTCTACTTAAATTGACTGCAACTCATAATAGAGGACTCTTTTTAAACCTAACGCCAGCCGCATTTGTACATTCTACTGAGGCAACGGGAAACACCAGCAACGATTCTAAATCAGTGACTACAGAATCGCTAGCGCGTGGTCGCTTTAGGTTGATTTGACCGTATCACGAGAGCGGTTCAAAAGTCGCTTTAAAGTGAACAAAAGTGTGCCTAGTCGAATGAATTCCGACGGATCAACCATGTAATCCGCTTTCTAATCTGTAGTTCACAAAGGTTACAGTTGACTCTACGTTTGTGCCTCTAGATTTATTAATTCTGGTTAGGTGAAGGCGCGTGCGAACCCCAGTTCAGTTGGTGCATTGACTAAGATGCTGAGGGTTGCGTGAAACCACCTCCGCTATTGTGAATATCATCGATGTGAAGACTTTACGTAAACAGGCCCATTACAGTCCCAGACAAAAAAGCGTGGTTTGTACTGCTAATCGGTAATTAGTGATTGATTAACCCTGTTGCGTGATGTAATGAGTTTGATGGTGCATTTCTGTATCCATCTTGAACCCTTTTCAGCTGTATCAGAATCGGGTTTCGCTGCACTCGAATTAGTTTCTGTATATTCGCTAGCGCGCTGTATTACCGAACCCTATTCCAACCAGGCTCAGGCCATTGGTGTCACATTTGCTTACCGAATGCTTTTATAGACCGAGGTTTGCGGTCAACCCAACAACTGCATCCTTACGAAGCTTTTGACTGCTAAACAATGCTAGCGCCCCATCCTCTTACGTGTTTAGTAGGTATGAATTTCTCGTTTAAATTCTGTGTGCGTGTGAAGGTGTAAATTGCGGCCATGCATTTCCATTTTGGCCTTGTTTGTGTGCAGTTGTGTGATCACAAACCGGGTCACTGCATTCCCTTTTTTTTAAATGACAAACATGTCTTCTCTCATTAACAACTTCAAGTTGTGCCAAGTTCAGGCTGCATGTGCTCGCACTTCACTTGGGCTTTTCACGATCTGATTTCGTGGTTTGTTTGCTTCAAGCTGTAAGTTTACTGCCCCTATAAATTTGGCCGCTTACCAGTTTAAAACACAAGGACTAGTTTCAGTCTTTTAATTTAAATGTCAAATTTGTTAATGACCATTTAACCAAGGCCTTGTCGGCCGCCAGTTACCAACCACACCCGTACCCACTGTCGAAAATTCCGTGTGTGTTCTTGTTTCTCAGTTTCGCATTTTTACTGTTTAGGTATAAAACAAATAATGTCGTGGTTTTTTTTCTGCTGAAATTTTGACACGGTAAAAACTTGGTAATTGTTGCGCAAACCTCACAAATATTACATAGTGTACCGACGTCTGCAGTCAAGAATGGATACATTCGCATGATTTGTTGATGGTCTTGTAACATTCCCGATAGTTTTGGCAAACAACCCAATGCCTTGGCAACAAAACTACTCCACTTTGGTAATTAAGCATGCAGTGCTTTTTGACTTCTTCACGTCGAGTTACTCTTAGTTTGCCGTAATCTCTCTACTTTGACTTTTCGTGCAATCAATGGGAGCTACGCATGTTAAGTCCTACTGAAAACCCCTAACTGTCTCCCGAAATGTTGGATCTTTGCTATGTAATTAAGGCCTGCATTTGGTAATTTGCATAGACCAAAAGTCGTTCATTGTCATGTGCGCCATGCATAAAAAGGAATTACAAGAGAAACCATGACCTTTGAAACCACGGGTATTAAAAATATGCTCTGGGCTGTACTCGTGAGCTTACTTTTCGTGCAGTATTAATTAGATTTTATGCAACATGTTTGTGTGGTAAATTGTTCCTGTCGTCGATTACATCGAAAGTGCAAAATTGTTGACCAGCTCGATAAATGAGTTATTCCACATGTATATAACCGCTGATTTCAAATTACAAACCACTCATCTAAGATGGGCAAAAGTGAACCAAGTGAGATCGTCGGTGCGCAAGTGCCATGCATGTCAATGTATAACGTATAACGATGGACGTGAACACAATTTCACAAATAACTTATCAAATTGTGATATGTTATTCCTCAAATGGGTTT